ATTTATTTAGAAGCGTTGAGTTTTTCCTGTTTGTGTTTCCACTTTACTATCACAAAGAGGCATGTATGAACTTGAAATTTCGTAGAACTTGGTGCAAGGGGAGGTACGGTAGCCCCGAACGCACGTCACACTCCGTTTAAGACAGCGCTCTTTGCTTTGTAACAAAATCATAGCATGTCATCCCCCTCATATCCCCAAAGTTCAAACATACACATATTGGTAAAAGAGTGACAAGTTTACAGCTTTGCACAAATTAAATGCTGTTATGAAATGGCCGGTGATCGTGACTTGGTCTTGGTGTCAAATATCTGTTTTGCGCCTTTGTGTCTAAGGTTACCTCATTTCCCAAGTTTTTTTCGTTACTTCAAAGGGTCTTTTATTGCCTTTTTGATTCAGGGGGGGGGAAGTTCTTAATGGGTACTTCCATATTTATGAGCATAACTGTGATCCCAGGAAGCAAGCGTTGGTTTGTAGACAAAACTCCTGCTGTTTAAGATTTTGCCAGTCAAAATTTTCTCTCCCTTGGTGATTCATCGTTGTTTAAGTACATAGCAATCAGCGAGCAGTCAAGCGTTTTTGAGAAATATCTTCAACGAGTACATTTGTGGGTTCACAAATTGAACAGGAAAGCCTGTGCACTGAACTATGTCTTCCCTGGATGACATCACAACAACAGCGCCCTCAACAAACATGGCAAAAAGTAGAGTAATGGCTTACAAATAAGCCAGAGACAATAAGACATTTTTCAAAAGTACTTGTTCTTCATAACACAGAATGAATATACCTGTTTAAACAGAAAGGAATTCAGCCCAGTTATCCAAACATTAACTCTCGAATAACGTATATGGACGCCGTCATGTTGCATGTTGCTTGTCACTAACTACCAGCGATAACCGGTTTCACGTTTCCGGCGTTCGAACGGCTGACAAAAAATGATCAAACTGTTCGACATACAAGAACAAGCCGCCCGAACTCAGTCTAAAAAAAAAATGCGTTTTCAATGTATTTAACCAAGAGTACACAATTGCGGAAAAACTTGAGTTTGGGAAAATTTCTTTCCAGCTACACTTTAAAAGGAACCAGTCCATTTGTCAGGTTGAATATGTAAGCTTGCGCGGCAGTTGTGGCTGGGTCGTGACTCGTATTTGCTATGACACTCTCGAAATAGATGGTTGGTATTTCTTTTTTTCCAAATAATACTTGGTTAGGTTCTATTGTTCTCCGTAAAAGATGACTAGGCTATTTGTTATTCATATGTTGCACGTGCACGGTCACAGGCTGTCTGGGACTTTCCACAATGCTTTGTTTGCCAGCAGTAAACAAATGAGTAACACTCAGTCCCAGGACCTGGTTTGTGTGCCGAATGTTTTGACTGCATGACAACTGAGCTCATTGACCGTCTTGCCCATGACACAGAACGGTGACAACCGACACAAGCTTGTCAGGGTGCCTGGGGGTCCACTTAAAGGGAGTTTAAATTTCATATTGCACCGGATCTGAAAGTTGAACACATTACAACTCGAGCAAAGTTTCGCTGCGAATCTTTCGTGAAGTCAAATTCGGTTCGCTTCCGCATTCTCCTGAAGTATGAACCTACGTTTATGCTCCTCTTCGGCGAAAACATGGCTTCCTGATACGGCAGCTTATGTGATAACATTCCTCAGTGATGATGTAGTGATTCCGAGTGATTTTTTGGCATTTTTGTCGGCTTTGTTGCGACTTGAGAAATCCAATTGCGCTGGATGGCTTTCAGGTGAGCGTGGCTAGGCTGCTTTTCAATACATGTAGTTCCTGCGTCAGTTGAACCATGTTCATCGTGAAGACCTGTTCACATTCGACGCGAAAGCTACCACCGTGAATGCGATTTTGTGAGGGCAGATTCTACTCGCGTTGCGAATTCAAGACAGTTCATGGCATTGAAATCGAGCGCCGAAAGTCAAATTCCAAAAGTTGGTCCAGTGGTAATTTAACTGGGGAGGGAGACAGAGTGGTGAACTGCAGAGGGATACAAATTTTAAAAGTAGATTGGAATGATTAAATCAACATCAGGACGATAAAAATAGATCAAACGGGACGAGTGTTCTATTTCGGAACGGGCAAGCAAAACTCTGACTATAATGTTTAAAGATAAGTTGGTTAAAATATAGGGTTCCCTACTTATTTCAGACTATACCACCACATATCAACCACACGGTTAATGAAATGGGACCGTAGTTGTTATGTTGTTATTTTTGAAATAATTTTTACAGTGATTTGAACTACCCACTGAAATTTGGTCGGATGGGATTATCCAGTTTTTATTTTTAACTTAAAGGGTGGCTGTAGTTGATTTGTTTTAAGTACACACCTTCAGGTAACCTTATTTTCAACTTTTGTTTCACTGTTTCAAACGGTATTTTACTCTCTTTTTCATTTTTATGCCAATAAGTATTTCCTTATCCATGAGCACACTTGTAATGTCACCTCAAGAAGCCTCACTGTTGCATTTGTTTGAACACCAAAAAGTACTGCATTTTCAATCAATCAACGTAATCAATCAGGCAACATCTATTTCCATAATGCTGCAAGTTTTCAAGACAATGTAACTCGATTGATTAATAAATATAACTAATATTATTCATACTGATAGGTTGACGTGAAAAAAGAACTGCAAAATTGTCTGCAATTATTGAGACATCTGTTGAAGCCGAGGGCTTATATGGAGACGCCTTCACAAAAAGTAACCAAAAACAACTACAGAGACAAAGTAACAATCGGACAAATAGCAATACAATGCACATGGGATTTAAGTACCGAATAAACATCGAGGGATATAAATAACAAATGACGCCATAAATAATGAACTCATGCGATTAGTCAAAAGCTTAGGCTATAGATAAAAGTCTGAGTAAAAATACAACCAAAAAATCAATATAGATGAACAGGGGAACAGCTGATTCAGAAATCAATTTGAAAAAAGGACTTGACAAATACTTTTTGCTGGACTCACGTTTCTCTTATTTGCGGATTCATTTTTGTTTATGTGCACACCAATAAGCAAGCATTAATCCCTTTCTCAGAAATATTTTCAGCAGTGAATTCTTAGTTCACAGTTTGAACAGAAAAGCCTATGCACTGAACTAGATACTTCCCAAGATGACTTCACAGCAACAGCACCCTCAGTTGTCCACAAAAAATGGATATACATGTATTTTAATTGTTTAAAATAAGTGCACCTTTCAGTGCATTGAACTAAATTACGAATGTAAAAGGGTTTTAGTGATATAGAATACAAAACTGACGAAAAAGTATGTCTTAGAAAAATTCATTGCAGCTACACTTTAACGCGATGTTGACTTGGGGAATGCCTTCTTACAGAAGATCAATCAGTGGAAGTTTACTGACAGTATATAATTTTACAAGCATTAAAGAAGAGATAAGTTGGACGTTCCTACGCACCTTGACGTGACTTGTGCTATGCGCGTGTTCGCTCGTTTTCATTTTTTTTTCTCACGGGTATTGCACGGTCCATTCTTAGTTACGGTTTCCGCAGATAAGCAACATGATGCCGACAACGCTACCACCAAGCAGGTTCCACTTCCGACTATGCTACCGGTGTTGTGTTACAACGTGTTGACACATCCTTCTTTGCAGTTCACTTTCAAAATCACATTTTACTCGTTCATATGAATCGAAAAATCTCTTCTTTTTTAAACTTAACCCAGTCCGCTTGCGGCAATGCATGACTGTTAGGTAAGACAAAAAAGACGATAGGGAAATCCGCGAGAAAATGACAAAAACACGGCATACTATGCGCAATGATCTCTCAAGATGAATGATTATCCTATTTACTAACAATTGAGCGAAATACTTGGGTACGATTTGGCAGTTTGTTGAAATACATTGAAATCAGATTTCATATCAAGTTGATGAACTGTTAAGAATTTTTACAATTCCCACAAAACTGGTAGGCTTTGTTTCGTTTATCAATTAACATAGGCCTAAGTGTTCCTCCCACGCTAAACTATCGTAGCACATTATAATGCTGATTATTGTGTTGGCCAAGAAAAATAAACCCTCATACAACAACTGCCATGTTAACCTCTTACCCATCAATCCCAGATCAGGTATATCCCTACACACCATTAGGAGGTCAAAGTACTTCAGAATGTTATAATGTCAGTTTTCATATAACTCATCAATCATGGAAGGAACGAAAATGCCAGTGAGGATGGCCCCCGTTATACACAAGGCACCTCTAGGTCAGGCCGCATGAATTATGCGGCCTGAGTTGACACTCAGACTTTTTTGCTGTTTCTGTTTTTTCTTCTTTACCATTTCAAACTGACTCATCCTGTATCTTAAAGTTGCGTTCCAAGCGACTCGGATCTAAGTCCACAGATGCCGCCTCAAGCCTGAGACGGTTCACCTAACTGCTGGTCAGTAGCACAGCGGCGGTTTTACCCGAAGAATTTGTTGTAATTAATTCAGTAGCAACAGAAGATTCGAAAAGTGTACCCACAATCGCGTTCAGTCCCCTTTCATCACGATAGAATTATAGGTGGAATTTACACTAAAGGAAAAGGTGTCAACATCGATCTCGCATCCTCTCCCCCCTAACTTTTTGAAAACTTATTACAAGTAGTAACGTCTTTGTAATTTATAGATTTATTATGGAGCTACACATATATTAAATTCGCTTGTTGGCTGCAGACAAGCATCGATCTGTTTTTCAATGTAGCCACTTAATTATGAGGATGACCCCTTGAACGGCCTCCCTTTTTTAGATAATCATTCCGGGACTGTAGCGGATATTGAACTTTCTTTTGTGTTGTTTTATCCCGAAGCGTGAAGTAATGCCAATGTTGGGTACATAAAAGCAAATATTGACAACAAAACGTTAATTGCACTGCATCTCGTTGCCCCATGCATTCCCCCTCGAGAAGTTTAGTCTCAAGCCCCATGATGTGTGCACCCCGAGGCCTGACAAGTAACCTCTTCGAACGGGTCACTCGTAATCTTGTTATTGAGCCGATTGTCTGTTGTGTGTACACCCCCTCGCGCACGCAACGCGCACTCAGGAGTCCCCAGTGATAAGGGAAACAAGCCCAGCAATCTGTTCCTTTTCCCCTTTGTGTTGAATAGTTCATGCGTAGAAAACCAGTTTCCCTGCATCACTGTTATGAAGGATACCCCGTCAGTCCTGCACGAAGTTTAGTATGCACTCGTAACGTTACTGTGTCTGTTGGCTCTAGCTCCTTATCAGCATCGATGGCGGCTTGCCCGTGGCATTCTAGTTCACGACTGTGTTTTACTGAATGACTTCAAGTTGATAATGGTCCACTTGCCATATACAGCATGGGTATACGTGTCGAGACGTACCAAGTTTGAACCGCTTGCCTTCGTTGTGGAACTGATGTGCATTGACAAGGCACAATGAGCAGGGTCTCGTGAGGCAACTTACTACGTAAGTACTTGTAAATTGTAAACAGATTCAGATTGTTGCCTTACATCACATGATTACGGGATGACAAACATTAAATCGTACACGCATATGAGTGGTACAACGTTGATGGTTCATGCCAGACCTCACGAGGTCCTCACGCTGTACATGCCCACACGCAGCTTCAAGGACACTCTGTCCCGACCGTTGGGAGAAGTCAGTATCACATAATCGCTCCTACCCTCTGTTCACTTCGTGATTTTGTACATGATACCCTTGCGTTACCTCCATAGGCAACACAAGTACTATTTGGCAGTGTTTTCCATGGTAAAACAACCCAGCACCCTGTAATTTTATGTGCGTTCGGACGTACATGTAGACCACGGAGTTTCAGTAAAGGACATCACTTGACACCCTGTACACTTGTCTGAAAATATTCTTCAGTATTTTTTAAGTACTTGTACATGTATATGCAAGTTTCCCTGCTAAAGTTGACCCTGAAGCTGTGAAGGACATTGCTATCGCTTACTGATGGCGGATCATGTATACCACTGTAGCCTAGGGAAGAATTAGTGATGTCCTCATATCTTCCCTCAAGGGCTAGGTTTCGGGACTGGGCAGTTTTGGCCTGCAGTATTTGAAGCTCCTGGAACTTGTAGTGACCTCTTTACCGACCCTTAATAAATACCCAAGATCAGTCAACTCTGTGCGGCCGTCGTCACATTGTAGATTGGGAATGCGATTAAGCTGTTAATATGTAATTCTGTCTGGTCAGAACCCATGTTAGACTGCGCACCGTACGCCCTAAAACACGGATATGTACAGTACATTTCTGTTGTCCATGTAAATCAATCTTTTTAGTTTTGGAAAAGAGCCAGACACTTTCAGGCCTTTTCCTGGTTACTAACATTAACTCGTGATCTTGCGGTGTATATTTCACACCCGTCTGTTATCTGTGTGACGAAAAGTGGCGAATCAAGCATGCCGTCAGAACCTCCCCCCCCCATCTCTCCCTCAATGTCCAGTAATTACAGACCAGCAAATAAACCTGTCATATATGACAGAGGTAAACACCCCCACTGGAAAATCTGGGGGAAAATAAGTGAAATTCACTAAGGGCTTAAAGTCTGCTTCAATAAGTTCAGTTTCTGTTGTGTTTGGTGGGTAATCAAGTGACCTTTCCTTCAAATAATACTACACAGATGATCGCCTTTTTACTGTATGGGCACGATACCTATCCTTCAAAATCCTCCACTTATCCATGGACAAAATTGCATTCTGCCTCAGTCCTCCCAAATCCACCAATATGTCTGAAAAAAATCAACATTTCTTGATGGTACCATAAGGCATGATGATGACCATGTACAAAGTACATGTATATGCTGCAACGTATAATTTCACGCTTCACCGTCTCGGCGTTCCAGTTGAGTACGTATCTTGTGCGCATGAACTGTGAGCAATCCGTTGTTAGTGGACTACATTGGCAATGTAGAAAGAAAGCAACTCAAAAGAAACCAAACATACACCAGCGTCCGCCATTTTTGTTTCATTTGCGAAGCTTGTGTATTCAGAACTTGTTTGCCAACATGTTGTGTAAACGATGAAGAGGAATGTTTAGGTAGGTACAGTGACCTTTGAACAAACTGTATGTGACCGAGGGCGCCATCGTCGACCATTCGGAGTGTGATCGAGTGACTCTAGTTATATAAGTCAGAAATGGTCACGCTACTTTTTTTCCCATGCAGACTGGTTTACATGGGCCATTGTTACACTTCTGTGAAGTCCTGGAAGGGACAGGATGGAATTTTTAACTTGTTTATTCCTTTTTATTACATTCGTGCGCACGAATCACTATTTCGTCCCCCCGGGTAATCTGTTTGCATGCATCATACCAATTTGTCCCCAGAAATTACTTCACGTTAGCAATGAATGCACGTGAATACGTAACTCACACACAGGAATGTTGGACAAGTCATTCCTAGGTACGTATTGATAATTCTTGGGAAGGAATCAGTAACCTTTGTGGGAACAAAAACCATAAATAAGTCCACCGTGCTGGCAGGCTTCATGCAACTTGATCGAGTGAACCGCATTGTCGATTTTCGAAATTGTATCCGCAATAGAATGAAACTATTCTCTTGTTCTCCTTTTTCTTCTCAGTTCTTTTTGAGCTAGAACATTTGAAGGGGAACTACGCATGTACTTCGAGCCATAACTCTTTTTCCAGTTGTTCAAATTCTGATTTTGGAAGTATGTGGGCCGGGACAGTTAAAGAAATATCCGCCGTATAATATGCATGTACGGGTTGAGTGTGTGCTTTGTACATGTGCTTATACAGCCAAACCGACCGTGTATTAACGCCGCTACGGGGGCCGCTTGGTCGCAATAATTATTATTGTGAGAGCAACACTGTACTGGCCCTCCCCCCCGGCTTGTGTGGAAGGCCAAGGTTACGCTATTGAAGTCCATAGTCAGCGCCCCCTTGAAAGACTCCTCCAAAGAAAAAAATCACCACAGGTGTTGGGTCCGCGGGCGCCTTCCGTCTTGAGCGCCTTAGCCTGGGGATCACTTTTTAATGTTCGTTCCGTCTGATATTATAGCGCGGGTTACCAATAGCTATCAACTTAATTGTTTTGTTTAAGGTACAGCATTTCAGCAGAAATGAGCAAAATGAGGTATTTGAAAAAAGATTTTGTGATATACAGATGTGCCGAAAGATACTCTTACTTCTTAGTCTTTCAGTTAAAACGCGATTCGGGTCAGAACTGGATTATGGCGTTGTTTTTACATTGGACAGGCGTACATTGGTCTGGTCTGCCATCACAGTCTTGAATAGAGACTCTTAGGGTAAGCGCAACCATACCGTGAAATAAATATTACAACTTCCAGCAAAATTGGGTTTCAAAGGGCCACTCTGCGGTTTCATATCCTCTGTATTATATATGGACACTCTGCTCTATTGCACGATTATTCGACAGAATGACATTGTAATAATGGTCGTGACCACGTCCATTGCAAGGTCAAAGTTCACTGCTCTGTTGACGCAGCAGGACTGGAATGTGTGCGTTTGGGCAACGAAAGTGATATCTCCACACAGCACCTGGTGAAAATGTACGTGACAGAATTTGAGCTTGCGAGATGCAAAGAAGGGCTTTTGATCACCGTAATTCGCCGCCATTGAAAACTGACAGTTGGTCAGAGACTCGAAGACGAAACATGTGTGCTCCTTTATGACTGATTTTGTAACCCTAACTAATAAAAAAGAGGGTATTGTGATGTATCTTATCATGAATTATGCTTCATGATGTACATGTACTTGGAAGATTACGAGGTCAGTCACCCAAGACCTAACCGAGGGCGCTTCATGTATTTCTGTGATGCTGTGGTAGGACGCACAATACTTCGGTTAGAGCTGATGGGAAATATTTGAATATACGTATATGTACAGTTTACTCGTTAACGGACTGCATGTCGTGCTGAGTCCAAAATGAAACGGTAGACCAACAGTGATAGAATCCAACTTTGATGTCATACGCAATTGATTGTGTCTATCCGCTACTTGAGCAGGTGTTTGAACGCTGGGTATGTGTCAATATTATGGGTACCTGGATTTTGCAAAGACACCAGTCAGAGTTCGTGATGACATTCTGCATAAAAACGTCACTTAAGGTGTCAGTAACCGAATCATGAATGTCCTCGTTGACGTGATATCATGTCCAATAGCAGAAATTTCTCGTCTTGGTCCATGGTAAAATCTTATCTACATGTACATGTACTTCAGGGTACATGTACCAATTCTCTGACCAATTCTCCCGATCCGTCACTTCACTCTACTGTTTGCTTTAAATGCAGACGACTGTTTTATATTCATCACTGCCAGTGGCATTAACATTTCACAGTCTGACTTCAATGCACATGCAGATGGTCAGATCATTTGAAAATTATACTTTAACGTGGATCAGTTCAAGGTCATCAGTATGCTTCGAAAACAGCATTCCCACCACCTTTTTTTCGTATTGGAAACAATGTGTTATCGGCTACAAACTGTAAGGGATATTTAGCAGTCATGATAAGTGCGCTGTATGGCGAGAATTGTGATATTCAAGGGCGGATCCAGAACCACATTTTCGGAGAGGCAAATTTGTGTTCGGGGGGCAACAAAATGTGGAGATTTTTTCAGGTAACCTTTGATGGGCTTTCCCTAGAGAAAAGTGAGGTTACATTTGGGGGCTCTTTGCACGCCTTTGGCCTGGAGGGAAATGAAAAAGACGTCCAAACTCGCTTTTCTCTCATTATCATTTTTAAAAAATGTGAGGCTCCTTGGGGGAACGGCCCCTTCTCCCCCTTACGATGCGTCAAGTCCTTCAGAAATGTAGGGACTTATAGACGATGATCCGCTTATTGTTCGGATAGGCCTAATAGTTTGAAAGACACTTGACGTTTTTCTTCTTATCTGCATAAATTTGCATACGTACACAAACAAGCTATACCTTATTAATCATTTAGGCTGGACTGATAATCGAACCAGAAAAAAATTGCTTCATCTGTTTTTATAAAGTTCGTAAGGGCCTCATCGGCATTAATACCCTTAAAAAGGCAAAGAATTAAACATTCCTTTTGCTTACAGTGATAGTTTAAGGTATTCCTATTTTGTGTGCACAGCAAATGCTGGAATCATTTTCCAGAAAGATTTCATCCAAATTACGTCTCTGAATGTGTTTAGAGCTCCCTTCTTGGTGTTTACGTGTTATTTGTGTTTGTCCAAAGACATATGTTAGTGTTTGATCGTATTGTTGTTAAATGTTTCTTTCACTGTTCTGAGCTTAATGCTTTGCGGCTCGTTGATCGCACTTTGTTTAATCGCCATTATTTTTTGTAGGTCATTGGGTTTTTGTTAGAACTGTCTTCAACTTTATTAACTTCTTTGTTTTCACTGTTTTTATGTATCGTTATTCTGATCCTTATTATATTCTATTATCTTAATATATAAAGTACAATAAGGATCATCATTGTGTCACTTTTATTCAGTTTTGCAGTTAAGCCACTTCTAGCTTGTACTTATTTTATACAGCAAGTTTTTCAACATGGAATTTACTTTCTTTTCCATAACCCGGAAGGTGCCATGAAAAAAATATGTGAAAACCAGGCTTGAGGTAAAAGAGCCCTTATCTCGAACTGCCACCTGCTCCTCCTTCCAAGCAGTCATCCAGATTAATCTTTAACGGGATGTAATCTTCCGTGTGATGCATGACATCTTATCTTATACAAACCGTTTTTAGGCTACAAACTCCGACAAACTCATTCCAAGTTATCCACAGCTAGGTGGGGTGTATATTTCTCTTTTAGTTCTGGCAAAACCTTTAAAAAAAGCCGGAAGTGGTCAGATTGTTGTCACACTTCCTCTCTGTTTTAACCAAGTGACAAAAATCTAGAAAATTTGTAATTTTTGGATTTGTGAAGTTTTTCTGGCCGTTAATATCGACTCCAAGAAGAATTTAACTAAGTCACAAAGCAAATTGTTTGTACTTTCATATTCATCGTAAACAAACACTTGGCAAAAGTCTCGGTCTCTGAGTGTGTTTGCTTGCTTTCATGAAGTGACGAAAATTCATCTTGTATAAGCAGTCCCAAAGGGAAACCATACTGGTCTGCACGAGTTGGGATGCAAGCCTAGGCTGTTGCAGCGGTCAAACGATGTTGAAAAGGAACGTATGCGTGTGTTGAAATGTAAAATTAATGGAACAATTTCCTCATATCTTCATGTTTTCTCGAAGTGACAAGAACTCTGCACACTGTCAAACAGAGACAACAGAGGCAACAATTAGTGGCCTCCACCATCCCCCGTTTTCACGAGGTGAAATTTTGTTACTTAACGAATCAAAGTGCGATTTTGACAAATTCAGCCTGCATTGTGTGACGCAACAGAAATGTCTCCAATTTTGTAATAACAAACCAACCGAAAATGTGTCATGTAAAAGGGACTATTATTTTTTCAAATGAAATAGGCCTAATTTGAGAATATCCGTTATGTAAGGATGCACAGGTTATTTCCACTTCTTGAAAATACCATCGACTTGCTGCTCGACTAGCGATCTAGACGATACGGGCTGAGATCAAAGCACCTAGCCTCATTCTCTCAACAGGATAGTAGCTCTGTCAAACCATCGTTCGTATACGTTGGCGCCGGCATGCGAAAAAAGCGTTTAACTGAAGATGTGATGTACGCCATGATGTAACTGCTGTAAATGTACATGTGTTGTACCTGTCCAGTATTGATGGGATGTTTACATGTACACTGTAGACGCTGTCCTTCCGCAGTTTACTGTTGTGTGTGGTTTGTTTTTTTCCATTCTCTAAGTTTATTTGTTTGTATGTTTTTTTTTCCTTTTTTCTCTTTTGTTTCCGCACGTCCTTTTAATATGAATTGAAAACTCGAAAGCAACCTGACCCTGTGTAACTGTTGAAAAACAAGGTTGCCAGCAATGTCATGCAGATGTTTGATACCAATGGTTTGGGTTGTTTTGCCAGTCCTCTCTGGCGATTATGAAGATTTCATTGGTGTAAAACGCTGGAATGTTTTGTTTCAATTCGTTCATTGAGATAATAGGTTTATAAGATGGTAGTAAGACAGACGCCCCAAGCCCTTTGTTTATGAATATTCAGCTGATGAGTGGTTCCCCCCCCCAAGAAAAAACTTGAGACGCTAATGGTCTCACCCTTGCGCAACTTCTGTGAACACTCTCTGCAACTTAAGGCCGGTTCACACTAGAGGCTAACGTGAAAGCGAAGCAAATTTGACACGATGAAAATATTTGCTGTAGAATTTCGCTCGAGTTCTGTTCACCTCTTACGAATATTTGAGCGCGAATATTTGATCTTAGCCTACTTCACAACTTTGCACTTGTGTTCGCTTTAGCGCCAAATATGAACCGGCCTTTCTTGGCGCGAAAGCGCACGTCAGAATCAAATATTGGCGTTGCAAATTCGAAGAAGTTGAAACATTTCAACTCAAGAGGATTTCGCCGCACATTTTTTGTAACGTCAAATTCACTTTGCATTCGCCTGCTGTATGGACCGGCCTTTACGCACAGCACTGGAAACGTGATTATGAACACGCGCCTTCATTCTGCGAAAAGCGTTCGCATTGTCACGTGGTTAGGACAACACTCAAATTCGTAAAGCTTTTCGTCAGCCTCGGCAGATAATGCGAAACGGAGTTTTTACTGATAGTACTATGTGAAATAGCACATCCTTCCAACTGTAACCATGTGTTGAGTGGATTTATTGTCTCTTCTCATACACTTCAGCCTTGAACGCTGGTCACGGGATATCCTCTACTGCGGTCTTCACGTGGTCCGGATGGGTGGACTGCCTTCAAGCCGAAAATAACAGTTATCCTAACGAATACTACTCACTGATTCATCGTCTTCTATTTGCTTTCTTTTCTGGTTTGCTGTTTTTATTGTTCGTTGCTTCTAGATCGTTATGCACATCCTCGAGATTATTTTTTTACAGGAAATGTCAAATAAACCATGATGCAAACAACAATAAAGCACGTGATATTCCAACGTTTTATATAATGTTTTTTATGATTATCTCTCTTCGAAAATTCCCATAATAGTCTGTGTTGCACCTTCACAATTTAGAGTGAAATGGATCGGATCTACAGCAAAAAAAAAATTAAGTCCCAACATATCGCTGCTGGTAGCAGGAAGCCAATGTTTGTATTTTCTGTTCACTTTGGATCTGATGTCCTTGTTTCTCAGAAAATTGTCGACGACATTTTAAAGTCGTGATTTTCATGAAGGTCGGCAAACTGGTATGAAAAGGACGCTCATCGTGGTGCATGCTGCAAATATCTGTAATATTAAATAAGTGTTAATTTAATACCCTACTAAGGACTACACCGAGGATTTCACCCAGTCTGGCGCAGTCCTTTGGTTACACCCATTGTACTTTGTCTTACTGCGGTTAAAGAGAATTAGTGCGCTGTTATATAAATGAGAGGAATTCAATCATATTGGTTTTTGGAACTACTTGTTGATGTCCTCCTGCAGTGCAGGAAGAACATGTTTCTCGATGTTGGGGACCGGTTGTTTCCGCGTTTCGATTTTCATTGCTGAGTCCATGTTTTATTGCCAAGAGACGGTCATGTTCTACATGTAGTTGACGATTACAACTCGAGAATCGAAACGTCCAGAGAATTCAATAGGTCCTACCGAACGGTTCCAGCTGTTTAATTTGGATTAAAATTAAAAAAAACTGAAACAAAAAAACAAAATATTCACACAAAACACAAACGTATCCACCTTAATTTAAAGACAAGACAAGAAAACAAATACCAACAAACAAACCTCAACACAAATGCATAAAACATCCGGGAATTCTGACAAGTCAAATTTTTCCGGGATAGGAAATGTTTAATTGGTAGTTTATTTTGTTGATACACCAACGGGGCTTTCTCGGCCCCCTAATATTTCTCCCTGCAGATTCGAGGAAATCCGCCCTGCATCGGTGTTTGATATTTAGTTGCAAAAGCACGTTTCCGATTGTTGGGGTTCCAACCCTCGTGTTGGGCACTTTGCCAACCGCTCAAATTTGCTTTACTTTTGTTTATAACTTCACGTGCTAATGGGTGCTTCACTCAAGTTAACACTGTTAGCAAAAGTTAGTCATTTTGTGCTCAAAATGACTAATATAGGTAACTCGAGTCTGGGTGACTTATTAACTCAAGACAGGGCTAATACTTAGTCAACTGTGACTGACTTTGGTCAAGTTTGACTATAATATTTGACTTATCTTTGACGAATAAATGTAAGTCATTGGCCTGTCTAACTAATTTAAAATTAGTCATTGGTATAACTGAGTAATTTAAATTGGTCATTTTAGACATAGAGCTGGACTAATTGTTATAAGTCCGAATGACTAATTTTTGTGTACAGTATGATGGAATTTGCTCTTTGCTCTCAGTGCTGTAGCATTTTCAGAAATATTTGTGTAAATACAACTTAGACCTACAATCTTTGCGTTTACAGTTTACACTCGAATGCTTATGTTGTGTCTGACTGTGGTCGGACCTTCTACCAGCATTCACGCAAATTGTCAGATAGCTGTTCCCTACATCACCAGCAGCAGCCTGCTGCGGTTGTCCAACTTCAGGATTTTGTGCATAAACTGTGGGTGCTGTGTGTCCAGTTGATGTGGCCACGTGTCCCAATTAATGCTCATAATCCCAGAAATCGGCATCATGGCTGTTGTTGCGTCACTTGGTATTGTTGCCGGTACATTTGCAACCACGTCTTCCGCGTTCACGCTTGCATTTTCCAACCCTTCTCTTTCCACAGTTTCACGCGGTGCTTAACCTTGCTGTGAAATCACGTGAAACAACTTCGGAAATCAGAGGCACCACTTCCGGGGGGAGTTTCGGCTGGCAGATACAGCCCACGGCTGCGGAGTCCCGGCCAGGCTGCGTACTGCACAAGGAAACGGTACAGTGGGTTGTGAGGACGTCAAGTGCGTGTCCTCACCATTGCAGCTCCGTCTTACTATTAGGACCAACTCTTCATTCCCCTTAATCCCTCCTCCGCTGACGGGCAGGAACAGGGACGATTCCTGAACTGCTGATTTGCGGCACTTCGTCATGATGACGTCATTTCGGTATAGGATTATCGACTGGGCCGTGATATGCGCCGCGCTTCTGACGGCCTCGAGGGGAATAGACGGTAAGCTTTCAAAACGGATAGACATCAGGTTTTGTCGTTTCAACCCTGTGAATCTTAAAATAGACGGTAAGCTTTCAAAACGGATAGACATCAGGTTTTGTCGTTTCAACCCTGTAAATCTTAAAACTGTATTATGTTAAGTGGTTTGTACCTAGGAAATAGCTCAAATAAACGAGTTGGCGCAGCAGTATTTTCCTCGGATTCAGTCCGATCAAATCCCAACCACTGCGCCCTCGTTTGGATTCGGTTTGACGCCCGGGACCTAAATCCATCCCCGTGTATATCCATGATGTTCCCCCATGACACCATATCTTTTAACAGGAAATTTACCAACCCGGCAAAACTGTCAAATATCTTAAGTTTCCTTGGTTTCTGAATAGCCACACTCTTCCAAACTATGTGGTCCCAGACAGGAAGCAATATGTTCTATATTCATCTGCAAGTGCCCGCCGCGATATCTGTGGGTTTTGAAGTACCATTCGATACGAGGTGATAAAATTTAATTCCGAGGAAATCATGACGATCAGCTTCGCTTTACTATGAAAACAAAACTCACCAATGAGGGTACCAGCATTGGGGTCCGAATTCGAAATGCCAGTCGTACTGGGCCATTCTAAAACCTGCCCATGAAGTCTCAAGTCTGATTGCCTGCAATACTGTACGTGCGGCGTCGTGCGCTATTGAACACCAAAATATACTGAACGATTAACACCGACCCAATTTCTCTCACACTAATGCGGTATACAGCAGTGAAGTCGAAAGTATTTATACATGTATATTTTTAACGGTTTAAAAGAAACTATGGCCAAGGCCATGTCCGAATTACGTGTACTTGGATACGAAGAACGCATGCACTGTGGGAGTCTGCAGCCGGCGGCTTCCCGCATTTCCCATAAATGCATGTATTATCATCCATTCCTAGTCTCGTGTACGGCATGTGGAATGTGAGCAGAGTATAAAAGCAATCCGGTAGCAAGTTCTAATGGTGCCAATACGTGTATCTTACAGGAAGGATGTTCATGCACAGGATGCACAGGGCATAGTCACATTCTTTACATGGCAATATTTTACACGTAGTCCTCGTGCCGCCGTTGAAGGGTATGACGTCATTGCGAGAACATGGTACAGTTCGACAAATGTTCGGCTGGTTCTGCCCGATGCACAACTTCGTGTACACTCTTCCACCTAAGCGATCTTAGTGGAACCACATCTTTGGAATCCCATCATCGTTCCCATGTTGCCGTCGGTTGCATCTGTGTTCATGATCTAAGCCACCTGATCACACAGTTAAGTTCACGTCAGTGATTATCCCTCTTAATACGAAAACGGCTGTCGACCAATGATGCAGTCGTGTATAGAGGTCTGGTTCCAAAATGGTCGACGTGATAGCAAACTTCGGCTGACTGTTGTCTATAGTACGTGGTCACTCAAACTGGCCCTTACTATGATGCCATCTGGTACGCCCAAAGGGCAACTCGGCCACTGGCTAGAATAGACTTTAAACTGATTTCCCTCGAACCTCATATCCAGCATCATTGGTATAGGGACAAATCGAAAAGAAGACCAGTGCTTGGCTGATTTTGAACATTAAGGCCGTGGCTATCAGGTGCCTAGTTTTGACACAGTCTGACATCGACGCTGTCCACAAAGGATGTGAGGAACATGGGGATAGCTCAGACTGCATGGCATTTATGAAATGATTTTGTTTGTACAGCCTCATTCCATTGTACTGTGTAATTATGCCTGACAACTTAACACGAGTTGTACAACGGAATAATGTAAATCAAGCAGGTTTTACATTTTCAGAAGTGTGGGAAAACAGATATCACAGAATTATTGGTGTTGTTTTATGACCGGATTTCCTCCGTCATACAAAAATTCATACGTGTATAGCTAATAAGTCAATACGGCTGACATTACTGGCATGGTGTAAGCTTGTATAGTTTACCTAACCTCTTCCCGTAAAATCTGCATGAACAACAAGTCTACGTGTTTCCTGCGTGTTGTCTGCGCTGTACCAACAACATGGGGTCCTGCAAAGCGAGATAGACGGGTTATTTTATCTGTTGTAGAGGTCACGTTTTGGAGGAAACGAAACACCGGGTATCATGAACCCGAGATTTGATTTTGATATGATTCATTCCTGAACGAGTGGTTTCAAGCATACACAGCTCCAATTAGTGTGATCTGTTTGCCGTTCCGTGCAGGAGCAGATCCCGTCATCAAGAAAGCAATACTGTGTTGACATAAACAACTCGTTATTGTCTTATGGCAACACATTAATGGGCAAATCCAGAACTTAGGGGTTCAAAAGTGTGACACTGTTTTGTCACTGTTACATCTGACTTTTGTTATTTGACATGGAAACATCACCGGAATTGCTTTCAAACTATTACTATTTGTTTGGCAGGTAATTTGCATTTATTCATGACTCTTGGAAATTAGAGAATGTGTTCTGAACTGACAAAATCATACGTCAGATGTGGCAGGGACACACAAAAAAGCAATCAACCCTTAATTTCTGCAATTAGCCATATGTCACTTTATCATGTATTATACATTTACACATTTTGATAAGCCGAATTTTTATTTTTGAATTTGAACGCATTTTACACGTTTTGGTTGCTTTGAACTTCGCGGCGTTATATTTAGCCCCCCCCCCGTATCTGTGTAGGACCAGTAATCCTATTTTGACCTCAAAATGCAAAATCGAGGTATTAAATTCACACCAAAGGTCTTCTAGTGTGGCGGAAATAGTCTTTTTGGAGCATGGTGGACACAATACGTGTACATGTTTATGTAGCAGGGCGGTTTTTAAAATGAGAGTAAACCGAAAGATTTTACCCAAACTTAATAGCTCCTGTTGTGTTCGCCATACCGCAAATAGACTCATGGCATGGGATGGGGGTGACGTTTGCATCTGTCTACTTGCTGATAATAAACAAAAGGTTATCACCTGTGGTGTCACCGTGGAAGACTGTGCTCCCTGGCGGCCCCCCCTTCCATTTGTACACAACCTATGTACATTCCGTGCCCCTCCACTCCCCGAGTGCCCCGCCTCCTCCATGTGTACAAATTTACCCTCTAGTTGCCACTGCCAATCTGAGAAAAGTTGCTGCACACCCATCCGCTTTGACCGGATCATTGGGCCACAGGGCAATAGTATATGTAAATGTAAGTGCAAGGTAGAGAGATGCCCGCGGCTTATGGATTTGGACTCCGATTTCACTGGAACACTCAGATTCAACCAAACGCAATTACGTTAACCAACCGGTACTCACATTCCACATATTTTGAAATGGCCCACCCCGCAAATACCAATGGCCATTTTATGACTGACCATTAAATTACCATCCGCCTTAAGCAGAAGCACCCCCTCACCGTTTGAAAAGAGCAATGCTGTTCGGGAGTGTTCGTTTTGTTGGTAGTGACGCGCACACAACGCACACATCTCATACAGTCGTTCGTGAACCAGCGAAATGAAGTTCCTACCAAAGATGCCTCCATTGCTAGGTAAATCCGCCTCCTCCTGGTCCAACTCGGGGCCATTTTGGCAAGTGACTGATTATGAAGTGATCTATTTGAGAGTACCGAAGTGTGACATCGTTTTGAACCAGAAAGTGTCGTGCAAACGAATGGAGTACGCGCGCGTGTCGGTCCACGCGTTGGTTCTCGTGCTAATTCCCTTTACACGCATAATTATGTGTGTGACGTATTCACTTCGGTACTCTTTAGAGCAGAATGGAACGTGCGCAAGAAACCTTGCTCGCACGGTCCGACGCAACGAGGACACAAACTGTATCGGTGATATGGTGGACTGGTGCACAAGTAGAATGAGACAAACGAGCGTTTGTGGTATTTTTGGGTAGTTGCCAGTCAAAAAGGAGAACTTGGATTGACGCAGAAAAGTGACAGTGAATCAAATTTGCGAGTGGCGCAGAATTCGCCTGTGAACGATACCTGGTGATCTCAGTGGGCGCACCCGTCGACACATCGTACATGATTACGATTGCGTAATCGTATTATGTTGCGACGTCTGCGATGACTATCTTGATTCTTATGATTCTGGCGTGGGTGCGGCTTCTGAAGCCGTTGTAATATCACCCAATCTGTAGCTTCATACCACTATGATTTACTGAGAAAAACGAAAGAAGGAAAAAAGAAAGCCGTGTTCACGACGGCTGCCTTGTGTATGTAGTTTTATGGGTCACTGCACGGACGCACAGGCCAACCGAGGTTGAAGTTCTTACGGTCCGTAAATGTTCAGCGGTAGACAACTTCAAGTTAAAAAGTTCCTGTTTAAGTTGAGATTTCCTGACCCAGGATATAATGCTTTGTGGTCTGTATCTTCTTACCGACAGAGCAGGAAGTGGAGGGATTTCCGACCCATATTAGACCCAGGTTTCTTTCTTTCTTTCTTTTTGGCTTCTCTTTTCTTTTGTCCATCATGGGCGCCATCAATAGTCTTTAATGATATTCCACTGTCTTAGGGCGTAGCACCTTTAAAGGGTAGCATCGATCGAGTGTTCTGAGACCCAGTTTTGAGACAACATTCAGAATTCTATGTGCTTACCCAGACAACATATGTCATTCAGGGGAAGCCTTGGTTCAGAGCAAAAAGGTTTATGTTCAGATTGTGAGCCCAGAATATATTCACTAAAATGAGAAAGGGATCGGTGTCTCATTGCTATCTATTCACTCAAAAATTAACCAATAAGGAAAGAATTTGGACCAGCAAAATCTTTAAAAACGCAGCAGTTTTTGTTCACAAAATGATGTAACACTAAGGTTTTCTTGCCAGGATGTCATCATAGTTTCACTCGTCAATATGAAAATACTCATTTCACACTGAAACGAAAAAGGCAGCAAACTGCGCTTTAAAATAGTAAATCAAAATTGAAAAATTTGGGTTTACTGAATCATACAGTTTCATTATGGAAATTTGTATCTTTTTCAACCTATTTTTTTCTTTTCTTTTTTGTTCGTTCTTTTGTTTTTCCTTTCCGTTTCATTTCAAAAGTGAATTTGGGTTTGACATGGACTTATAGTTGCGTGAAGAAAGATTTTACCCCCAAATACTCTGTAGTATATTTTGGGGGTCTGCTTGTACTAGGCATAAACCGAAATGATTTACGTTTCATTGGTGGTGGCAGAAAAAAAGGGAAGTGACTTTCAGATTAATTCGTCTGGTGATCCGAATAGGACTACATCATCTGTTCCAAGTGCCCAGTAAAAACTTATTTTTCAATTCTCTGATTTTCGATGGATCTTACTTGCAGTTGCACAGGGCTTTCTTGTTTCTTAATATTTTTCATAGTCAACGTGTTTCCTGTGTGGTCTCCATTTATTTGCCGGTCCAAGCTGATGTACTCTAAATATCTCATGTTTGGTCGCACTATTCGGTAACCCCCAGTAACGCTATGCCATATTGTGAAAACTCTTTTCTAACTTGTGCAATGTTTGCCCATCAACCACAAGTGCGGAAATCCCGAACGATAAGTGGCTGTCTTACACACACAAAGCCCCATGCAGACTGAGTGAAGTCCAATTTTGTGGTCTCTGAACTTTGATGCCAAGGCCCCAACAGGGCAGGATTTCCTCCGATTTTCCGGTCATCACTCGAAAGTGGGAAGAGTTTGTTTTGCGTGTTAGAAGTATTATTCTACAGTCATCTCGACCCTTTGTTATATTGACGACCTGGAATAGTCTGATAAGACTTTGGGTCCCTTTATCTTAAGCAGCATACAGGAACACGCACAGATGATCACAAGTAATCGGGACAGATTGTAGTTATACTCATCGTTCAATTTCGTATTGTCAGGCTGCTACTGTTTTTTCACACAGTGCTTAGTGTTCCCAGGGTTTTGGAAAAAAATAATGGTGCCTTTTCTTCAAAAAAATGATTACATTTCATTTCAAAGGCATTTTGGGACGAGACGTGCCTCATAATAGGCCGTGTCCGAAATGGGCTTCCTGAACTACGGCTAATGGTATATTGTCTGCCTGTCTCCGCGTATATTCCAATGGAGTAAAGACCTAGACCTAGCTCTAGACAACAGGTTCGGACGCAGCCTATGTCTAGTTCGCGCACAGGAGCAATAAAAGGAAAGTATTGCAGCCGATTCAACGGGTGTGGAATTCACTGCACTTTTCCCGTACATGACGTATGGGAGAAAAGGAAGGAGCAAAGATACCCCTATAGGAGTCTAAATATGCGTAGCATTGGAATGGTTAGCTTATGTTACTCTCATGGCCAGTCCCATGGCTTTGGTCATTTGTTTCATGGAGACCAGGTGACCTTTTATACGCCCACTGGTGAAATGTTTTTGCGCTTGCCCGGCTGATGTGTCTTGTCAGTTCCTTATTGCATTTCTGACCTCAAATGTTCACACAAAATCCAGGCACCACCACCATCACTCCCACCCCATTTTTGTGAGGTGGCCATTTTTCGTCTGCCCATTAAACCCATCTCTAGCCGGTCCCGTGGGATCCATGCTTTCAGCAGTACAACATTACTGTAGTCAACTTCGTGCGTGTGAATACATATTGTGTTCCTTCTGTGTATGTTATTTTTCTTGTACGTCTAATTCACCACTCTTTACCTTTCCTTGATACCGATTTCTTTTGCAGTCAGCGTCCCCACTTCGCGGCGCGCTCCCGTCAACGGTGATGTGCAATTGGTGGGTGGTTCCTCACCGGCAGAGGGCCGGGTGGAAGTCTTTTACAACGGGGCGTGGGGCACGGTATGCGACGATGGCTGGGAGATGTCCGACGCCCAAATCGTCTGCAAGCAGCTGGGCTTCGCCTCCGCCAATGCGACCAGATGCTGTGCTTACTTTGGTCAGGTATGTACAGCCGCGGCATTAGTATTCTGCAAGTTTTAACACTGACTTCATTGTGCTAGTTTGCGCCGGCTGGAGCCTCAATTTCCGTGTTGATGATTTTTTTAGCTCGAGTATGAACCACAGTGTAGTCTAGCCCCAGACTAGTAGTAGATTGGCCCTGTAGTCTGGTGCTAAGTGAAGGGGTAGTTTGGAGCATTCTCAAAATCGAAAACAAAACTTTCGTAGAGCTCCGAATTCTCCGTATAAGCGCAAGGCATAGTGCCAGCTGCGCCCGTTGCAATGCGTTGTATACCCATCTTTGACAAACATTGTTTTCAACTCATTAGACTCATTTATAAATGATTACTGAGTTGTCCTCTAATTTGAAAAGGCATAACTTTTACAATGGAATCACAGTGAATTTTATTATCCTATTCCCGACGAACAACAAGGGAAAAAGGTGATTCGTCAACTTAACTCGATGTTGAGAGTGAAATTTTGAAAGCCTATAAATGAATGAGCAGTACTGCAATGAATTCATATATATGTAAACACAACTAAATCCAAGACTATTGAAAACGAAACCGTAGTCTGGATAAATCCAGGAAAAAGTTAGATTAAGGTTGAAGTTAATTTTCTTGAGATTAGCCGGGGAAAATATCAGAAAACAAAGAAGTGAATTTCTTTTGGTTTCGTTTTTGTCCTTCTTAAATTTAGAACCAATAGATTTACCCTTTGGAGTGCCTTTAATATTAATCTTGCTCAATTTTCACCCTGTCTAATTTGTGCTCTTTTCAGGGTACAGGGGCAATCATCCTTGACGATTTGGCCTGTACTGGTGACGAGACGAGGATAGGTGACTGTCCGCACCGAGGTTGGGAGCAACACAACTGTGCCCACACTGAGGATGCCGGGGTGATATGCAACGGTATGGCCTAGGGGCAGAGTGCTTTCGAAAGAAGTCCTACAGTGTTGGTTGATAGTATGGAGAAAGGCGAATTTATTGACTTTTTTCACTGATCCCTCTTGTATTTCCTAAATCTTAGTATTCTTGTCTTACTAGTGAGTACAAGTTTCTTAATTCTTTTACGACGAAGGAATTCCAATATCCCCACTTCATCAAGAATGTCACTCACAATACTGAATCCGAGATCTCTAGTTGATGCCAAAGGAGTCGAAATTTCAACTGTTCTCCATGTTTTTCCGGTTGCAATAGTGTTAACCCAAGACTCTACACCTTTACTCTTGCAGGGAAGGTCCGGCTGGCTGGCAGCTCCAACCCGCTCCAGGGCCGGCTGGAGATTTTCCACGAGGGCCAGTGGGGCACGGTTTGCGACACTGACTGGGACTTGAAGGACGCCAAGGTAGTGTGTCGGCAGCTGGGGTACCCCTCAGCCAACGCGTCCAGCGCAGCCGCCAACGGGGTGGCCACCGGCCAGATTCTGCTGGACTCCGTGTCCTGCATGGGCGACGAGCAGGGGGTAGAGTACTGCGACCACGGCGAGTGGAAGAACGTCAGCGCAAACTGCACCCATAGCAGGGATGCCGGAGTGACCTGCACAAGTGCGTAATTAGCCACAACAAGCGACTGCAAGAATTTCAACACCCAGTTCTTATTTACAAATTCGGTCCATTGCAATGCATTCCCGTTACTCGTGGGAACCGCTCTCCATATTTTTATCATGAGGAAATTCCTTTTTTTTGTTTTCTAATCTTCTGAAACAAAGAAGTTTAATTCCTTTGTAGACTAGGATTTCAACATCAGTTACTGATCACTCTGAGCGAAGTTTTAAGGTCATCCATGAGTGACAAAATCCTACAGATAAGCGTGTGAACACTTCATGCTCTTTGTTGTCATGTTTGGTTTGATTTTGTTTCCTATTAAGGGCCCATACGTCTGGTAGGCGGCCATGGGCCCATGGAAGGCCGCGTGGAGATCTTCCACAACGGTACTTGGGGCAGCATCTGCGATAGTAGCTGGAGTTTCCAGGACGCCGTGGTGGTGTGCAAGCAGCTGGGCGGCTACGCAGCACAGGAGGCCACGCGTGGCGCCCAGTACGGCGGTGGGCTGGGCCCCATCCACATGTCCAATGTCAAATGCGCCGGCACCGAGGGCACGCTGGAGCAGTGCCCGAACAGCGGCTGGGGCGTAGTCGGCGAATGCACACATTCCAATGATGCTGGAGTCATTTGCACACGTAAGGAAACCTACCTGCCTATTCATCTCCGACATACCACAACAGTTGTGCTGTTTAAAAATGTAGTAGAGTGTAGAAGAGCAAGGGGTCAGAGATATCTTCCTGAAATGAACAAGTGAAGTTTGAAATGTTTTCACGTAGAGTATTAGTGAACCCAGACGAGACAATTCATACTTTAAAATTTCAATTATGTAGAGATTGTGGTAGCTGGTATGTTCTGGGACACGATGTCAAATTTAATTTATGTCAGTCTTAGATCTTCGGAACTGGCTATGTCATCATTGCATAAACCTAATGACAGAATGGTAGACATCTGAGACTGAGGCCTCGTCCGAAACGGGCTTCTAGAGCTACGGCTGGGTCTACTGTCTCCGCGTCTCCACGCATTTCTAATGGAGTGAAGACCTAGGCCTAGCTCTAGACAAGAGATTCGGATGCAGCCTGAGTTGGAGGTTGTGAGTTTGACTCCTTTGTGAGCCTGTGTACTTGCCGGTACAAAACTCTGTAATTACTGTGATACCGTGCTTCGTAAACATACTTCTAGGGCAAGAACAAAAAAGACCATCATTGAATGTGAGTCGCATTTGAATCTGTCCTCGGGATTCCGTTTTACAGCTGCCGTGAGGTTGGTCGATGGCAATAGCTACATCGAAGGCCGTGTGGAGGTTTTCAACAATGGTCAGTGGGGGAGCATCTGCCCGGAATCCTGGGACGCCAAGGACGCGGCGGTGGCCTGCCGCCAGCTGGGGAACTACCCGCTGTCGGAAGACGATTGCTGTCAGCCGCAAGGAGTTGGACAGGGTGGCGCCGGGGTGGTTCTGGACGGTGTGGACTGCGTGGGCAATGAGACCAGGCTGCAGGACTGCCTGCACAAACCTTGGGGTAACGTGGAATGCGCAGGTGGGCAGGCGGCTGGTGCCAAGTGCCAGGGTAAGCTAAATAGTTTGATAGGCCTTGGTTTGTGGGTTACGAATCCTTGCCTTGAGGCGTCCAACCAAACCTATTGAGTACCCCCTCCAGAAAATAAGGCCCCATAGCTGCCCCCATGCAAAATGTACCCCAGTTATGCCACTTCTTTAACTAACCCTAATCCCCTAGGGTGTATGTAAAATTATATTGAAATTGGAGGATTTGGGATTGTCAGGGTTAATGAAAATCTTTTCAGGTTGAATAGATTAAAGTAATGTAAAAAAAACCAGGAGTTAAGTCGCACCACATGCTAGTACAATCCACCAGTCTTTCCAGAAAATGTCATCAGATTTATCCGATTGACAAGTGTTTGTTTTCTGTGCACTTTGGTACAACTTTTACGCTGGGAGTTGGGCTGTAATGCCTCGTATGTTAGTGCCAAATACCGGGCCTTTGTTGATGAAGACCTTTCTGCTTGTGGGCATAAATTTTTTTCCTCTGGCTGTGGTCCGACCGTGTTACGTCGAAAACCGGTGCGCCCTGAAACAGTCTCTGACCATTCCCTTGGCAGCTACGGTGAAACTTGTCGGCGGCTCCAACGCCATGGAGGGCAACGTCATGGTGCTGCACGAGGGCCGATGGGGCAGCATCTGCGACGACAACTGGGACATCAACGACGCCAAGGTGGTGTGCCGGCAGCTGGGCAACTTCGAGGCCGTAGCGGCCACGTGCTGCGCCAAGTACGGCCAGTTGGCCGAGGAGATCATCCTGGACGACGTGGCGTGCCAGGGCGAGGAAGGCCGGATCGAAGACTGCTACCACGCGACCTGGGGTGCGCATAACTGTGGGGCCTCGGAGTCAGCTGGCGTGGTCTGTCGAGGTAGAAAGATGGGTTCCAATATGCTGATTATAGGACCCTGACTCATTACGTAGTGGCTTTTGTTTTGTCGTTCCTAACGCTGTCACCGTACTTTTAGTTGAAATGTATAGGAACCTCAAACTCAAATGCCTTAAATGTCCTATTCCTTCATCTCAGATAAAATGGTTGCAACTAACTCTTCATAACTCTTTAACAATTACCATGGTTGGAAAAGATCAGCTTACTCTATAAAAAAGGTGGACTTGATACAACCAACGTGAAGGGTGTTCTTGACAGTATTGCTAATCCAAGTTTTTAGACATTCCACGTTGTTTACAGTACCTGGTATATTGCATTCCTGGGCAGATATCCGGCTGGCATTGGACGACTCGTCCTCCAACCTGCCCAAGGGCCGGGTGGAGATCGTGCACAACGGCGTCTGGGGTCGGATCTGCGGCACGGATTGGGACCTGCGGGACGCCAACGTGCTGTGCCGGCAGCTGTACAACAGCACAGCCGAGGCCATTCACTCCTTCAAGAACGGCTCGGGCCCGATCCTGCTGTCCAGCTTCCAGTGCCAGGGGAACGAGACCAACATCCTGAACTGCCCTCACCAGTCCTGGGGGGAATACAGTTGCGAGGACGCCGACGCGGCAGTCGTTTGCAGAGGTACGACCACCCTCCCATCACCCGATTTTTTGTTACCATGCCAAACATACAAGTTGATAAACTTCCCCTTTTTTCCAACCGCCAAAAGGTGTGTTAATCTTGTTTTTTCTTGTCATGCTGAGCCTACTGAGTTTTTCTTTTCCAAGAATCGGACTTATCACTCTCACAAAAATCCAGAGTGTCTGCCAGAAACGTTTTCAGATTGGATCCAAATGTTTGCAGGGGAAAGATGCCCCTTTCACATACAGTGTTGTGAAAATTACGTTGATGTGTATTTTGTACTGCTATATTGCAGTTCTGTTTAAGTTTCGTCAACCACTCCAGTTGCACCGCCATGGTGATGAATAATGCAACCGTGTAATCCTTTCTGGGCTTACCTCCCTAGCTTCTTCGTCAGAGTTCAAAACAGCGTGCTGACCATGACTTATGACTTTGCAATTTCTGTCTGTGGCCAGTTCATTCCTTGGTCAATACAAACGTTTGCCCTTCTTTTGCATTTGCTATGGGCATCTCTCCTTATTTTGTATCGGTTAATTCCCCATTCCTCAGTATTTTACCATTGTCAGTTTTTTTTCATTAAGCCCCCTTTGGACTTCTTACGGTGCCCATTTTATTAACTGCCCGTCTGACTGTCTCTCCACTTTCTGTTGCTACCGCCTAAGTGTCCTACTGAAGTTTGCCATCAGCTTCATGTCTTCATCATTTGGTAATCTGGAATTTTTAACAATATTTTAGCATAATACTGAAGATTTTCCTGTGTTGTGTAGGCGGTTTGAGACTTGCCGGGGGGCGGACCCCCCTGGAGGGGCGGGTAGAGGTATTCCACGATGGACAGTGGGGCACAGTGTGTGACGACGGCTGGGATTTACTGGACGCTAAAGTCGTTTGCACTCAGCTGGGAAACTATGAGGTGAGATAAACAATCAATCAGCAGAATGCAGTGTTTTCTTTTATAGGGGGGTTATAGCTAGGCACGGGCGCCGGATCTGAGATTATAAAAATTGAACGCGGGTTATGTATAGCCAACCAGCTTCAAGAATCACGCACAACAAAGATGACTGAAGGATGGTCGGTTTTAGAATCGGGAGGAAATTCAGAAATGTTGTTCCACGGAGAACCCACAGAATCATCGATGGACTTAAAGTCCACTTGTCGATACTGTGTTGATGGTAAAATGACCCCTGCTCCGAATGGGCGAAGGCGAGGAAAACGCACCACTGCGCTAAACGTACTAAACCCTGTTTCTCTTCCTTCGTTTTTGGCAGGCTCTGTCAGCCAAGTGCTGCGCCAATTTTGGTCAAGGCTCCGGTCCCATTTTGATCGATGGGCTAGCGTGCGCCGGGGACGAGGAGCTGGTAGAAGAGTGCCGGCACGAGGGCTGGGGCAGCCACAACTGCCAGCATTACGAGGACGCCGGAGTTGTCTGCACAGGTGTGTCGGTGTTTCCTTCTCATATATGAAAGAGGGATGCTGTTGGTGAATTTGCTCTAGCGATCAATATCAACAGGTTTCTGAGAATGATGCAGACTGATTTAACCATTTCCATATGCTCGGTATCAAGGTATTTTATTTATCAATATTTGACAAAATATCAGTTTTAAAGTAGCTATTGGAGTCACATTGTGCCCTCCAGAATCCATGTTGCCCAACCTGTTGAAAAGACATTGCCCTCAAATACTGCCCTGGTCTTCATTCACGGTTGGAACAAAAACATTCCTGTCTTTGCAAAAAAAGAAGTCTGCCAAATTATCAGCAGGACAGTTTTGAATCTATAATTTTGTAGCAAATTTGTCTTGTGTTATAGATTTGAGATTGACACACCAAAACGGAAGCGTGTCTACCAACCTGTTGACGGGCCGTGTTGAGGTCCTGAGCTATGGGGAGTGGGGAGCTGTCTGTGGAAAGTACTGGGACAAGAAGGTAAAAATGAACGCTCCAAACCTATTCAACAATTTTTTTTCCAGAGGTGCAATGCAGACCTTGGTTTAATAACAGGCTGCCATGTATAACATCGCCCGTGCCTGTGCCAAATAGCCTGGTAGATGGGTCGCTTTTTAGACCAACAGATTTCGCACATAACTGTCCTGGCTCCGGAGGTAGTTGTAAACGACACGAGGGGCAAATTTAAAAACCAGCTACCCGATGGGCTGTTACGAAACTTGATTCCAGGACAAGTCCAACTTGGACTGTGGACAAGATTACATTGTCCATTTCGTGAAACTTATTCGAGGAGTTGTGAACAATTTCTGTGCAATCTTGCCCCAGGACGCGGAAGTGGTCTGCCAACAGCTGTTCAACACAAGCGCAATGGACACCAGGAAGTTTTATGTGACCAGCCCCAACCAGAAGATCAACATGGGGGAGGTCCAGTGCAACGGGTCTGAGAGCCTTTTGCACCAGTGCCCGAGCGCCTCCAAGACCTTCACGGCGCAGTCGTGCCCCGGGGGAGAGACGGCGGGTGTGCTGTGCAAAGGTGAGGGAAAGCTAGCCAACCACTGCAACGACTTCCCACAGACCTTCATCAAGATGCTGCAATGTTTGTCTGGTTCCCTGTAGACCCATTGACAATAGTAATGCAGTTTAGTAGTACAACGCCATGGGACCCATATTTGTATCCAGATGCCCAAAATGCCGAAGGAAAAATGCACTGCTTTTGCTGTTCCAAACACGTATAAGATTGAAGCTGACAAAGTTACCCCAATAGTCGTTACTTGTGGTTATTTGTGGAAATTGTATGTTTTTAAAAATGAACGAAAAAGGGTCACTATCCAATGCATTGCGATGCATACATCTTGAGGCTAGTTTTCGGTTTAGGTTTGCTAGTTAATCAATATAAATCTGGTTTTGTTTCCCTTAACCATGGTATTGTGCTAGATCAATGTCACTTGTGGCATTATTTCCAAACATATACAACTGATGAAAACACTCTGCTTGTCTTACTGGTGCTTTTGATGAGTCTGTTAACTAACTTAAGAATGTTTTTGAAATGCGATTTAATTTCTATAGATATTCGCCTGGTTGGCGGCAACAAACGTTCCTTCGGAGCCGTGGAGTTACTCGTCGACAGTCAGTGGGGTTCGATATGCGCTGACAACTGGGGCCCGAATGAGGGCACCGTCGCCTGCAAGCAACTCGGATACTGTGGCGTGAAAGGTATAGTGAAATTCAACAGTCAGACTGAGAAGTTCCTCGTGTTACTCTATATGCGAGGATCCTAATCCAGCTGCCGTTTTTATAATCGCACCCAACTCTCCAATGGGGCGCTCCTGATGGTAGCAGGAAGATAGTAGCGCGACATGCATTCATCAAGGTCCTCTCTCGTGAATTGGAAAAGGGATTTTACAATGTTTTGAACTGGCCTTATATGAACCTTTGAGTTCATATGCACTACTTTTGTCCTTACGCCGCAAAAATGCCATGTATTGTAATAAGAATTTGAAGCCTCGTGTCCCACTCGTTTTAATCAGTTCTGGAAAAAGCTTATCAACACAGCTACAAAAAATGCGTCCACAATCTCGTCCTTCAATACCTCGTTCTGCTGTCGGCCTGATTACTCAAAAGTACCTATTGGGCATGGTCAGGAGTGGGAGAATTCAGCTTTTTGATTTCAGCTTCTTTTTGTTTAGATTTTTAACCCTGAATTTCAGCTTTTTGTACCCTGGTCTGCACAAAAGGATGGGAACTTTTTACATTTCGGCTTTATGCTACCTGTTTCCTGCTTTAATTTTAAGTGGCCACTCACACCACTGCATGGTACGGTTTTAGAATTCTGTTTTTTCCCCTTGACTTTGTCAGGAACCCAGAAGGGGCTGCAGCCTGCCCGCACCCAAGGCAGTATGCACTTCTCCAGCATGAACTGCACAGGGACGGAGAGCCGACTACGAGACTGCCAGTACACCCACGGCGGCTACACCTGCAATGGGCTGGTCTTTGAGGCCGTGGTGGAGTGCAAGGGTAAGGCTTGCGGGGGAGGCTAAACGAGGAGCAGCGGTTTTAGGTATAGAGGTAGCTAGAATCAAACCTGGCCCGATCGTGCCTAAGATAGCCTCTCTTTAAATTCGATCGAGAAGCATGCTCTATCTTATGGTAGTACTATGTTTCTTCTTGTTCAGATGATGCATTAGAGACAAATTTTGTCATTTGAGACATCGGCATGACACGTTCTTGCTCTGTGTGTTTTACTTAATTCTTTAATACCTATATAAAGGGGGTTTACAAGATCGTCAGAATAAAAGCCACTTTCGTTCCCAAGTCCGCCGTGAAAGCCCTCTCTTGGTTGTTGGCACACTGGATGTTGTCCCGTTTGGATCTGTCTCTTGCTGTTTTTCGAGCAATTAGTGCAACTCCTTGCAAGGCAGCCAGCCATTTTATGTAAAAACCAAATGGAAGTCACACACGACTTCATGTCGCTACTCTCCCGCTCTGATTCTGTCTGATCTCCCCCCCCCCAGCTGCCTGTGAATGGCCTGGACCAATACGACACGGTAGCTTCAACCACAATTCCTCCCGCTACGAGCCGTTGACGACCATTGAGGTCAAGTGCGACGAGGGCTTCGAGCTGATTGGTTCCAAGACGCTCCAGTGCGTCACCGGTTGCGTCTGGTCTAGGCCCACCCCAGAGTGCCAAAGTGAGTGAGGGTTTGGATGCTGTTGGATGGTGTATATGCGGAGAAGGCGCAAAATGCAATTTCACATGCATCAGAAGTGTTTTATTGTTGTTTGCTATTACAATGCATTTTAAATTTGGATGTATGCTACAGTCTTTAACGTTTTGGAAAAGTGATTATTTAAATATTCATGCAAATGATCAAATCTGTAATTGCTACTGCTGCAAGTTACAAATGGTCTTTTAGCAGTTTTGGTCCCTTTTAGAACAATGGTTAACCGTTAAAATAATTGTTACCTGGCTGCTTTGAAAACAAATATGGATTTTTGTAGTTGGCATTTTAAAATGTACCCTTTTATTTGTGCTGATTTAAATTGCAGGCACATTTAAACCGGATTGCTTACTGAAAAAATTGGACCTCTGATTTTTGCAGTTTGCAGTTTTTAATAAACAAATCCCTCTTGTCACCTAGGAATTTCAAACTGCTCAAATGGTGCATCGGGAAAGCCATCTGTCGGCGCTCAAGGTAGGTTAATGCCATGGTCTGTTTTAAATTTTAACGTGTATCAGATCCACAGTAGGCGGCGTCTGAATACTTGGCTTCTAGCAATACACAAACCTATGGAAAACGGCCGAAACCACGACCTGGTGGCTTCCATAGGGGTGCATGTTATCTCCCGCCGCAGCCAATTAATTCAGACAGCCATTAGTCTCTGATGTATTCTCCGCCATGCACGAGTACTCTGTCATCTGTAGCAAGCAGAGAGACTGCTGCGACAGTCATTATAATTGTGCACGATCCACTAATAGTCGACTGCAAAGGACCATGTAAAATTGAAGTGGCTCCACATCGTCTGGCAAGGCAGATGCAAGCGGACATTGATTTCTGTGTTAAAAAGATGTGACCGTGGTTACGTCATTTCCTACACTTCTAACAGACATTGCAGAAATTTATGCAAGCTACAAAGTAAATGCATGCTTATCAAAGTTAATATTATAGTTGATCCACCAAATAACAAACACTTTGCGTTGTAAGTATGTGTTTAATGTCCATGATTACATGTTCATGTTACATGTGAGTTAAAGTCTTTATCAACAATTCACGGGTTTTAGAATATATATCGTTTAAAGGTAAAACATTGGTAGCCCACTGCCATGAAGTGCTCTATCATTGAGAAAGTGGGCTTTGATTCTTCAGTACTGCACAAAATGTGTTAACCCGTTTTTTCCGTGAATAAAGTCTCCCTGAACTCAGGTCACCAGCCTTTTGAAGATCCATCCCTTACATCGTTGGACATGTCCAAGCATTGTCCTACGACTCAAAGTTAAATCATTTGATTTTGAAAAGATCAACAAAAACAAACACCGTTATGATTTGCAGTAGCATCGAACTTTTCCCGTGAAATCCGCTGGACCCTCGCTTCACCTTATAGAGGCATGTTGGTATGACTGTTGGTTCAGCGTTGAGGGGGTTGGCAATATTAATATTTTGCCTGATGTGCTCTCGGGATCTCAGGAAGTTTAACGTCTTAAGTTGACCACTCAATCTGCCGCTTCTGTTTGTCTCGACCATTTCTGCTTGTCTCAATCAGCCACTTTTATTTATTTCCCCCTAGCTGGCCCTGCTGGTGGAGTGATGCTGGTCATAGGCATTATATTAGGAGCCGTAGTCATGTTGCTGATTGCCTGCGTCGCTTTGTACTTAAAGGGAAGAAATAAGAAGTAAGATTGCATGGCTTTGTTCTATCGTTTCAAAGGATCCTATAAACGTCTAAGCTCTCCAAAAGGAGCAAACCCAGAACCATCATTTTCTTCATCCTCATGCAGATCATTTGATCAAATGGAACGGAACAAATTTAGAGACTTGGCGTTTGAACCACTTTTGCACTGGATGCCCCTCTAATAAAGTGCGTTTACAAATTGCCCAAAAATCCATTTATATGAGTGGCCTTGGTTGATCTTGTGAGATATACGGGCTTGCAGACCCGACAAATGCTTTTTAACTTTCTTAAGAGGTGTTATCTCCACTTGCAAAAAGTGTACAGTTGAAATGCTGCGCTTTTCCTGATGAAATGTGATTGATTTTCTTGTACCCCAGAAACTAGTGGCTGTAGAATTTACACACAAGCCTTCTTGCAGTGACTCGTTTTGCTAGTCGCTCCTCCAGTTGACATTGTTCATTTTTTGTGCTGCATATGGGTGTCTTGGCATTTGGATAAGGCTTTTTCCTTACCTTTTTCCTGTTGCGTCGTGCAGCATCGGCCGCGGCAACCCGGCCACCACCTCTGCCATCTGGAAGCCGAACCGGGAATTTGACGAGATGAAAGAGCCTGTCCTGAGCTTCAGCTCCATGAAGACTGACGGGGCAGGACCTGAGGAAGGCGTGGGCATCTGATCGGGCGATAGGCGGCGCTTCTTTTTTATGTATATTTAGCAATCCAGGACAGGGAAGTGTTAACCAAACTATGAAAGATATCTTCTAACCTGCATTAAGACTTAGGTTAACTTTAATCTTAAACCTCTACGGTTAAGAATTTTTTTTAAATTTCGCCAGGCGTCCGGCATCTTCGCAAGGAGATAATATTAGGCGTTCTGTCATAATAGGCGGGTCCCCACTACGTCGAAACTAGTCCTTGGGACTGTATGAGCGAATGAGGAACTAGACGAAGACGGCTGCAGCCTTGGGGAAGCGCGTATTGCTATGCAGATTCATTGCCACATTAAACTTGTTTTAATGCCTCTGTTGACAATCGACGGATGGGATTAGTTCAGTTTCAAACCTTCTGTAATGGATACCTACAGAGATAATTTTAGACAAGGATGACTATCATCCGTCAACACATATATCCATACACTGTCTTGTTCCCCCCTTTTTGTAACCAAACAAATCTGTATTTATACGAGAACATGTGCATTTTTAAAATCGACCTTGTTTTTGAACTGCTCGACACTTGCACATCAAAAATGAACACAATGATGCGTTTCTCTATTTGAGGTGGAAATGTGTCATGCCTTTACAGGGAAATGTCCGGAATGAAATACGTTTGTAAATAAGTTTTAAACTTATGTGGTCGAATGTGGTGTGGGACGTTTTACCCAGAATTTATAAAGAATTAGGATTGAGATTTTAGTGTTTCTCGCTGTCCAACTTTGCTTCCAACTCAGTTGGATTTCCTGTGCCTGGAAATAGGCTGGCAGCATGCAATGCATTAATGCATTTTGTGGATTTGCAATTTTTCCAGTTGTTTAGATTTTCCCATTTTGTCGTTTTCAATGAATTTCCCTTTGTATAGGCTAAAAAGAATTAAGAATTTTTGGACGCACTTATTAATATTTTTGGAAGAACCTCAACACAAACATCCTCCCGTTGTGACATGCGTGCATCTTACAGTTATTGACAGAATATAAAGAAAAGCTAGCATACAATAAGGGATAGGCATTTTTCCTTACCACAACTTGTATCGTTGCTGAAGAGAGGGCTTGCATTTTATGAAATTGCCCTTTTTCCTATTCATTAATAAATCATTTTTATTTTCCAATTCACCATTTAATTGTTCCTACGTAAGTTTTAACTTTTGTGCTCAAATATTTAGTAGGTATAACTCATCTTTCTTTTTTCCATACCGTTATTCCATTATTTCCAACGAATCTCGCCGTTTTGATTTTAACATTTTGGATTCTTTTGCCAGACACGTAATGTTAAGTTTGTACATACGATTTTTATAGACATTTTTCATATATTCGGTGTTAATAGTAAGTCATGCATTTGATTACACTCGATTTTGTAGGAACGAGACTTGTATATTTTTCTCTTAATAATCAACTATTTTTGGCAGGTGAGGAGCCTTTTTATATTCCTAAACAGTACGTGCCGCTGAATTTTAGGCACTGATTATACTAAATGAGGAACTTTCAAGAGGCCGTTATAGCTGCGTAGCGTCGACAGAGGGCCCACTGAACTCTGCAAAAAAAGCTGTAAAAAGTGCACGCACTCTCGAAAGCTGTGAAGGGTTTCTATCGGGTGACATCTCATTCTTGACTCCATAATTTATTAGTGTGATTCAGGACTTTTTTCAAGCCTGTGGCCGTAATATCCTTTCACTGTATGCGGAGACCCTGAGGTGTTTTTAATCGGAGCTATATTGTTTCTAAAAGACAGCACCGTGTGACGACTTAAAGTAGGGAAAATCAGCTTTTTGACGAAGCATTTCTACAATACACAGAATTTTTTTATTGCCTTCGCATGCGGAAGAGGGGATTATTATACAATTCATCTACTATACCGACCAAAACATGCCTCATGACCTGAGTTGTGTCATTTTATGGGGAAATAAGAACATTAAACAAGTGTAAAATTATTTATGGTGTTTGTCCCAAGTTTGATGTTGGCTATGTTCTCTTTACTGCTTTTTGTTTTACAATTGCCCAATCAATATTGGTTGAAATTTTCCCTGCACTCTCTCACTCCAACGAATTATGAAACTAACTGGAAAGAGAAACTTTATTTCGAAAGTGGTCGTGACCACGCCCAGTCATGTGTTTCGTTTCGGTGTCACTGGAAGTTTTTCACTGGAAGATGGCAATGGTGCATATGAAAATTCCAATGGCAAGTGTGGCTGTACCTTATGGCTCGCTGCGATCAGGGACAAGGATCTCACGTATTATAAGCCATGTCAAAGGTGACGCATTTTGGAGAGAACCCAACCTGATACATCGGTCGGTATGGAAGTCCCATGTGGACGAATGTGATACATTTCTGAGGCTACGTCAAAATTGATTAGCTACGGCAATAGTAGGGGCAATTCCAGCCGAAGCTGGATCAGGTGCGCCCGGCACTCCTTGGATGCTGATGTGACAGAAATTGAATGCTGCATCCGGGTGTCTTCCCAGTGACGTAACTACGGGGGCACGTGCCCTCCCCCTTCCCTTGAAATCTTCAAATAATCTCCACTAAAACGTAGCTGCCGTTTATCTTATTGTGGTGCCCCTTGAACAAATGTGTGCATCGCCGGAGGCCCCCCAGACAATTAGCCCTGGTTATGCCACTGTGTCTTCCTGTCCTCCCGTCAAAATAAGGAACAATTTAAAGACGTGTTCGGTCGTCTGGAAAAGTATCTGAAGGTGGAATTTCTTCGAATTTCCTGCTTTGCATTACTGTACTGTACCGAAATGGGAAAAAAGGACCACAAGATTCCTCAAATCATGAGGAAGGACACTCCATGACCATTGGAAGTGGTTGTGGTTGGATTGGTTTTGTTTGTAATAAACAAGCATTGTGTTGTATTAAAATTGTTTCTTTTGCGCATGCGTTATGCACGTTTCTTTGGCAGAGATGTAGTATTCCTTACAGGACTAAATTTCACATGACACCATTCCCTGCCTCCCCAGCCTGTAGCGCCCTCGTGTCCACAGTCTTTCCACTCGTCTCATTGCTCCCAGAATCTCAATCATCCTGGGAACATATGAATATTAAAAACAAAAGGGATAGATGCGGGAAAGAAAATAAATGCCGGTTTGTCTGTCGTTTGCCAATCAGTGCTCACAGCAGCGGGGTCTTAGGCCCGATTTAACCTTCCACGTCCTCAGCCGCAAAATTAAATCCAAATATTACAATCAGGTAGGTGACGTCACCACGAGGAAGTAGTAATTTAGCGAACTGAAACTGTAACCTGCCTGTGCCAGCACTCGGCCGACTTTGACTTATTTTCATTTCTGGAAGTCAGTGCAGTGCGGCTGTGAGTTACCTCGCAGATTTTCCACAGCATGCGGGCGTGGAAAGGTATTATTTTTAGGCCCGGTTTTTCCTTGCGAGTCCGGTTGGGGCGGATGTGGCGCGGTGAGTAGCCCGTGCGGATCCCAGCTCTAAATCACGGACTGAAATAGGTGTAGGAGTTGGCGTTGCTACAATTTTATTACAGTGAGATCGAGCTTCATGGTGTATTGCCATGAACTAGGCGTGCACCCCGCGAGCACAATCGGTTAGAACGTGGTGTGAGTCGGACTGCAAGAAACGATAAGACAACGCCCTACATCACGGTAAGTACAATGGAGAGCAATCCAGAACACGACTTTCAATATTGTCTACGTTGAAATTCCGCGAGTGTTTGTTATACCCTGCACGTGTACCTGAAAAGCTTTGAGTTGTGTTTGAACTATCAACTTTGGAATTGCGTTTGAACAAATGTAACCGTTGAGTCTGTATTGATTAGTTCTACTGGAGTGACAGGCTTCAAAGAACATTGTGATTCCTCTGTTTACAAAATATTCACTTCAAATCTCTGTATACAGAATTGCTATTCTCGGCATATGCAAAATTGTTTCGGAATCATCAGTTAGGGATCGACTAAAATTGATGAGAGCGATGGTCATAATTCACTCATGCTTGTTTTTTCAAAGTTGCTTTTGCTTTGTACCGGAATAACTCTACAGAGCTTTTTTATGCACTTTTCACGCTCAAAATATAATAAAGGCTTGGTCAATTCTTGTTTCGACAATGCTAAGTTTGTCAATGAAGCATTGAATCAGGATATCGGGGTGTAATACTAAACGTTGTTCACTGTACACTTCTGGTCGTGCATCTCCGTTCTTATTGCAACTTGGCTGTTGAATTAAATGGATAATGAAAATATTATTTCTGCCAAATTTGCTGTTGCCAAGGATCCACGTCTGGAATGGAGATACCGCCGTTCAGTGGTGTTGCCCGTAACATAATGTAAGGTGAAGCCACTGTATGGTTACATTCCGGCTTTGTTCGATACTTGTTCGTGACTGTTACTATGACTGATTGTGTATACATCTTTGAACGGTCGACGGGTTGCTCCGGGTTTCACGTGCTAGACAATACCATTCATGTGATAGAGGCCTTTGTGTCGTAGTTCGGGTGCTTTCCAAGTCAAAATGTCTACCATGGCGAAGACTGTATTGTACGGAAGCGAATTTGGGACATAACTTTAAAAAATTATTTGACCAAACTAATCCGCCCAGGTGAAAAAGTGGCTCAAACTTTTTAGTCATAACCTCAATACGCTTCTGCAGTATTTTCTGGTGAGGGCACCCCCTTCATGAATGTTGAGAGAGTCCTTTAATTTTGTCTTTCGAATAGACCGATTACGCCAGCTATGTCACGTGACCTATACTGGGTATTAATATCAACAAACACCGCGTCCACTCAAAGCAAAGTGTTTCATAAGTATCATTTACCCAAAATAAAGCCGACGGTAAGTACCGCACTTAGACTACTGATGCAGTGGGTATACTCTACTGTAACTTGGCTGTATCGTTTGTTAACACCTAGAGTGCATAGGGGTTAGACATGTGGGGGGTACCCCTCCGTCCCATGTCGTGCTGCCCTCTGTTCAGGTTGAGTTGATATATGGATGAAATTTTATTTTCACTGGAAGCGAACAGATGGCGATAATTGTTGAATTCTCAGAAAATACTTTTATCAACATATGCAGGAGGACGCTATTTGATGTTCGCATTGCAGATGTACACTTTACAGAGAGTGTTGCAACAAGAGTGTCTCATTTGATGGAACCAAAATGGTTATGCATCAGTGCACATAGACACTTAGCATACAATAGCAGCATGCTGTACTGCACAGATAATGAACTGCCATTTTGGTTCCAAAGTCTCAAGATGGCGCTATTCTTTCTAAATACAGCTCTGAAACTGTATAATAGAGCAGCGCTAGTTTCAGATTTTTAGAAACAAATGGCTGTTCATTATGTGAACAGTAGAACGTCTCTAAGTGCACTGGGGCCTACATCTGTTTGTTTCCAACCATAGTGACACTCGAGTCACAGGTTTCTCTGAACACGGCTCTGGTTGTCATACAAGGCACTCTTTGTCCGAAGAGCATTAGAACGTTACAAAAAATCAGTCCTTCAAAATCACCAGTGTTATACATATAGGCCTACATACAGTGTATAAACAATTATTCCCCTACCCAAAATGGCAATATATGGGCGTGGGCACCAGCAACGAGGCTGGCCCCACCAAGGGAGCCTCCGACATACAGCCGTCAGTTTCAGGGATCACCCGAGTCGGAAGCCGGGGGGGACAGATGCTCCCGTCTGATGGCCACAGCTGACCTCTCTGATGCGGGACTTCCGTGATGGAGAGTTTAGTGTGTGGATGACTGGCATTGTGCACGGTGTTGTTCTTTACGAGACAGCTGTTTAGCTTACCCCCGATTCTATGTTTAGTCACTAGATTTTCATGAGGAGGACAGTTTGTTACCCCTATTCCAGATTTCCTCGTCCGTTTTGGATAGGAGAGTTCTGTAGATCCAGGGAACATTTCTAATGATAGAAGAATACACCGAGCTGCTGTATATCGATAGTTTTACCTTTTCCATTTGAGTGTGTGCTACTTTTATCTCTTTCCTTCCCCTCACGCTTGATCGCATTCCTCAACTTTGATTGGACAGGAGTGAATGGGCTGAACGTTTTGCCTTATCTGCATTTCGACTGATTTAACATAAAATGGCTTGAATTGTAGATTTTCAACATAAACTTAGCAAGGCCATTATTGGTAATTGCCCATCTGTGAGTGCACTCAGCAAAGACAAACGAAATGTTTTCCGAGGAGTACATTAAGGTTTGTTGGCACTTTTACAAAGACAACACTTTCTGTAGAAGCATCTGTTTCATGGTTCGAATTGCAGGACGATTGTGATCAGACACTTGTTTCTGTTTTGCAAAACAAGGAAAAGTTGGTTCGTGTTGGTAAGCAGAAGCGGCTAGCTCGGGAGCGTGTTCTTCTTGCCCTTAGACCGGACAGTCGGTCGGCCGGTGGGTTTGTCGGTCGGTTGGCGTCATCTCTCCGGCATGGGCAACAAGGAAAGCACTCATGGGGGCGGAGCCGACGGCCCGGACGGCTTCGATCACAGCACCTCCACCATTACTGTCTCCTCGGCCAAGCTGCGCGGGGACAGGAAAGACCGCAAGGACAAGGATAAGAAGCCCAAGAAGGGCAAAACCCGCAAGGACTCCGTGAACGCAGCTGGAGGCGGGGGAGGAGGTGGTGGTGGCGGCGGCAGCAACGAGCAGGACCGGCAGAACCATACCGGCGGAGACGTTGGCGGGCCGGGAGGGGGAGCGGGAAACGTGGGTGCCATGATCTCGGCTGGCGTGGGAAACGAACAAATGGGGATCATGCACTCGCCGAGTACAAGACCTGGTAAGTTGATTCAAGTTCTTGAGCAATACCGGACTGTAACCTTTTAGTTACAACTCCATAAATTTCTCTATAGTATGAGAACCCACCGTAACGTTGATGACATCGCCAAAGTCTTTCACAAGATGGCATCTCTGACCCAAATAAACATACACTCCGACAAATTTGATATTTCATGATTTCAAGGGCATCTCATTAGATAACGAGTGTATCTCCCCAAACACGGAAGCACGGACCTTGGACGCGATCCCTCAGCAATCCAATTCCCCCTAAACAGTGAAGTCAACGGATGCTCCCCTCCCTAGATTCTAGGTGTGTTTTTGGTCAGCCGTTTCCCAAGCCATCCTGCTTTCTCTCTTTCTGTCTCTTTCTCTCTCTCTTTCTGTCGCTCTGCTCTGCCAGCGTGACCCTGGGAGACAGGTCAGGAGGTTGCAGAAAGAGGGACGGAAATGGGAAATTACTCCGCGGTTTTTTGGGCATCCGGCTGCGCATGCGGGGTTCACACCCCGACCGTTGCTGTCTGGAAAGGGGAACTATGACACAATTTATTCAGCTTCTGGTCTCGTTATAATTAAGAGCGTTTTCTGAAGATTTCCTTGTTCTGCTTCTGTGGATTTACATCTGGCCCTCTGGAATAATTTATTCATAAATGTTGGCTGTGAGAAATTGGCATAGAGTTGATTTGATAGTAATTACATGACGTCACAAAGTAGGTGCGTTAGTTAGATTTGAATCTCCTAGATATTTCTCAGACACTCAGTTGCACTCAGTGTCATCAGACATAACGTCAAGTGGTTAATTACTCAGCGCATTCCAGATATTCTTTGTTTGGTAAAATTGCAAAGTCATTGCACTGAAAGGCACAACAGGAAAGCGACCGTCGTATCGTGGCATACTGTTTATAAAGAAAGAAAAATAGCCCCCAGCAAAATTCAGTCAAAATCTGCGTTAGATTGTATAAAGTGATCCATGGTGGTTACTATAAAAAATGACTGAACACCAAACTGAAACCGACAATGACCGAAAATGATTGCTTGCTCTTCCTTACGTATCCGTAGTTAGAAAAAGGTTGGATTGAACATCGAAAGATTACGCTAAGGGTTTAAAGTTCAGCAAGTAGGCATACAGTGCACAGGATCTGCTCCTCAAAATGAATGACTTTTGTTGTTACTTCGTCTAAGAAATTTTTCATCTGACACTCTACTGTGTGGACCAAACTCGTCAGAATAAAATAACGCTGTGGTTCACTGTGCAGATCTATATAACACACAAGAATCTGCAGTGATGTATTCTCGTAGTCATATACTTGTGCATTAATGTCACACAGCAGCTTCGCATAGCAACGCAACGAGCTCACTTCCCGTTTCCGGTGTTTTACTTTCAATCCAAGGAAGATTTGTTTAAAGGCTGATAGCATGGCTAAAAAGAAGCAATACTTGTGGTAATTGGCATTAGCTGACATATTTTGATATCGTAATATAATATACTAATTGGACTGCATCTCAAATTGTTTAGTATTGATAACATGAGCAACATAACCTGTACAGGGATTTTAGGTACACGTTGGAAGAATGCTAACTCTAAACTACGGACGTTATTGTTTAAAGGAACATAATGTAAATAATTCTAACTGTAAAGCAAAGGAGACAGTTATTCATTTGTTAGGAAGTTATTACAAAAATTTAGGTTTTTTTTAGTTCATGCGATAAAGGCCTTTGCAAAACACGTTATAAAGACGACTCGATCCCGGTGAAGGTTCTTCGAATTATAAGCGACTTTTACAGTTATTTCTATTTCGGTTTCAGACGTGTGGACCTTTAGCTCTGTGAACAAGTCGAGGTACATTGTTTCTTATGTGTATAAGGGCGAACTCTCACTCACACATATCTATTTCAAGCAAAATATCACCATAGGCTCCCAAGGAAAGTGCCTATGGGTGAAATGTCACGACTGAAGGCTGAGCTGTGAAGCCGCTGGCAAGGTTGATAGCAACGGTGAAATCTTGGCTCTAACATAGACGCCATGTTAACATCGCTCCGGAAATGTTTCATTTTGGCCGACAGTGCTTCAGCTGATAGAGTTGGTTTAGAAGGTATTAGTCACTGGATATAAGAGGACTGTGACTTTTTGTTGTTGTAAAATAGTGCAAAGTGCCATTTCACTGACATTATCCATGGGGGGAGTCCAAGAAATTTCAGACGGTGAATATGAATGAAAGGTCATTGGGGGGAACAGCGAAGCAAAGGCACGATCCTCGGTTGACAGATTCGACTTTACACCAGGATATGAATATATGATCGATATATTAGCAGTCCATGAGTACGGCAAACAGTCGTCAATCCATTTATCAAACCTTAGTCTCTCAGCCACTACAAATAATTGCATATTTAAAGAATAGCAATCCTTAATGTATGTGAAGTCTAATCATAACCTTTAAAGACATTTTCTGTTACTATATTAATGTATATATTATGTCCATATCAATGCAGCTTGATATTTACAAAATTTCAGGCAGTATTGCATTAAGGCTGATCTCTTTGTTAGCGCTCCGAAATGCCACGCACTTCCTTTTCATGTAAAGTGTAGTAAAGATAACAGGGCTTCGGGAATACCCGAATAAGTTTCTTGACAGATAGGCATTGAATGTTAATTTACAACATCTACCATCAATGTGGAAGCTGGAAGTTGACAAACTTGAATTGATCGGTCACTGGGGTCGCTAAATGCAGTTCTTGTTGACGCTGTTAGCATAATTTGAGTGAACTCGTTCCTCGGAGCACAACCCAATTTTATAGCCCACTGTGTTCCAGAATTAACCCGTTCTATCGGTTCAATTAAATAATTGGACGATTGACATACAAACTGCCATCCGATAAAATGAACCGTTGCGGTTCAGTGTGGACGCCTTCCCCCGCACACCCACACAAGTGTGTATTTGCCTGGAACTGGGGACCCCTTATGTTGTTGTTTGTACTTCAACCTTTCTGAAGACCACCCATGTTTTGTACACAGTTATCAATCAGGGACCCTGTGTGAGTTGGGGACCTTATTGTCCTCTATCGTTCAGGATCCCCAATAGAATGCAAAACAACCCCTCCCCACAAACTCCCACACACCTTAATTTCTGCGCAGAAAGCACTTTTACAAGTTATAAGTTCTTGTTTTGGCCAATTTTCAGTCTCTTACTTTAAGTGCGAACACCCAGTTTACCTAAATCGACTTTTCTTATGTTTCGTTTAGCTGGTGAGCGGTACAAAGCATTGTATGACTACGAAGCCCGGACGGCCGACGATCTTACTTTCCGAAAAGGAGAAATACTCATCATTACAAATAAAACGTAAGTCAATATTTTCAGATTACCTTGAAAACGAAACTGTTGAGAAATTGCAAAACACGTGTCATGGGATCAATGTAAAAGAATTCAAAACTGTGTAACCAAAAAAAAAACATATGGAGCCATATTCTTAAGCGCAAGGCTTCCACCGAAGATATCTTTTAGAGGGCTCGGGAGCTATTATGTATATACTCTTTTAAAGAAGGTTATTTTCAATAACCAAAAGAGGAATTCTCTTGCAAGTTCCCTATCTCATGTAAACCCACATACTCGAATGGCCGTCAGTTAGGGCGGATCCAGGTGGGGGGGCTGGGGGGCTCCCTTCTTCACCCAATAAATAAATAAATAAATAAATTCACATTTTAAAAAAAGGGGAGAAGAAAAAAGAGGGGCCCTACTGCCTGAAATTGCACCACAGAGCGCCTCGAATCCAAAATGGCCCGCCGTAAGAGTTTTGCACGACGCACTCGCGGCCATTTTAGTATTACTGTTTTAGCTCACCCCCCCCCCTTTAAAAAATCCTGGATAATACCCACCCCACCCCCTTTGGAAAAATTCTGGATCCGCCCCTGCCAGTTCTCTGCAATGAATCTACAGGAAAATCACAATCAGGAACTGCCAGTGCTAAAAACCTTCAAAAACCACAACCCATCTATCATGTCCAACTGGTTTTTTTGGAAATGGATCGCCATGACTGCAAACATGATAATGATGTTTTTCTTTTTAATGAGCACGCTGATGACCAAACGAAACCCGGAAACATCACCTCTCGCACGCTTGCTTTAAGGCGCATGATGTATTGTAATGCGTACCGTTGTCTTACTTGAAACTGTTTCTATCAACGAGGAAGCAGCTGAAATCTAAAATATGTAATAATGCTACTCTCGTTCTGCTGTAAAACAGTTTCCAAGGTGTTTTAATTTTATGTACCGTTATTTTCTGTTTTTATTGGCTTATTCGTTAAGTTTTATATCAAAACAGTTTTTTAACATCTAGGCTTATACCCGTATAAAAAAGAGGTAGCGGAAATTGGTAATCATCTGTTCGAAAGAAGTATGTTTAGAAACGGAACAAAAAGTTAACATGATATATGACCTGAAGATTTCGATAAAATACTGAATGAATACTGCGATGGGAACATTTCACCACATGTTCTACGATTAGGGGTTTATCCTATTATTTTGCGTAAACGTAATTGCCATCTTGTAATCAGTCCTGTCAACCACGACCATGAGGTGTTGTACACTACTGGTTGCCATAACAAGAGAGAAGAAATTGCCTAGAATGGTCAACGCAAGCAGCCGTCAGTACCACTGTCCTCATCCGTAACTGTACCTCGATCAGTAAGGAAAATCTTGGAAACTGAATCTACACAAGACTCGCAATGTCTGTTAATCCGAGAGACCTAACCTATTAGTATGGCGGCCAAAATTTCTAGAATGTTAACCCTTTGTCAAAAGGCTTTGCCTTAAAAATGTATCTTTGCTCATGAGTATGTTTTTATGTAAAAATTAACACTTCATTTTGCTGTTTTGATAGCTTTCTTGAATTTTTCATAGTACTTTTGGTTTTGTACTGACGGCCAGTCATAATTTTTAACTTCTGGTATTTAAAACCTGAGGCTGTGACGTAGAAAAAAACAGAGATCTTTAGCCATGGGTTACGACTATCAACAAAGGTTGTAGTTATAAAAGAGACATTCTTCAACATCCCTTAGCCTCATCTTTAAACCCCTTCTCCCTTGTTTGTCCACAAACAGTGACCCTAACTGGTGGTTGGCGACCTCCATGCTGACAAAACGAGAAGGTTATGTCCCGAGGAACTACATTGAACCGGCGGACGTGCTACAGGCGGAGGAGTGAGTCGTTCTGAAGCTTGTGCTTTAATAAAAGTTTCTCTTGTTTCTCTTGCTTGTCTCAAGAGAGACAAATGAAAATTTGAAAAAGGGACACGTACTCTTTTCTTTATGAGGTTGAATTTTTTTAGGTAAACAAGCAGACATCGATTAATAGGTAGAAAACTTTGTGAACATTACAATAATAACCCGAAATTTGTTGGAACAGTAGTGTGTTGTACATAAGGACATTACATCAGTCCTGCAGTCATTGGTGCATTCTTTCCTGGATAGAGATGAGCCGGACATCCCCCTGCCCCCGCCTTTCAGATTTTGTCGCATTTTTTTGTGTGTGGGACCCAGGGGCTTCCACACACCGATCTATTCGGCGCATCATTCTCCAACAATGTCTTTCGCTGGTGTTGAACATTATCCACGGCATCCCAAGCGTAAAATCCAGACTGATATGTGGCGGAGGAAACAGGCACTTAAGAAGTGGACGAGGCGCGTTTCGACTGCTCCGTCTGCAGGGATTAGTTTCACGTTGGAATCCCGTGCCAGTCCGTACCCTCCTTCACCTCGCTGGTACTCCGTAAAAGCATGGCACCCAAAATTGGAAGTATCAATTTCCCCTTATTATCACACAGGCCGGATAGGAGTGAAACTATATTGGATGACATGTACACTGCATGACACTTTTACAGCTATTCATCGCAAAATTTTGCCATCGTCATTATCTCCATTCATCACACGATTTGCACATAGAGTATGAATGGTTTTTTTAATGAAAATGAACAATTTAATGACCCAGCCCGCCGTGTATAAAATTTTTAGAAACCACCAAAAACTGTTAATTAATTCATCCTGTTTGGGGAAATTGTTTTCTGTTTTGTGTAATCTGTATTGAATACGTTTCATGGACAAAAGGAAGTATTTTAAATCTATCGATTTACACATGTTGCTATCCAGGGTAACCAAAATGAACATAAATAGTTAGTGGGTAGATCGTTGATGGTTTTCGGTTTTAATTCAGTAGCGACCGTCGTGCCTCTGTTAACCACATATTGATTTTTTTCCTATAACTAAGGTATGTCCGTATCACTTCGCACGTTCATAATTATCATCAATTGAAAAAGTACGCTTCTAGAATGGGGCACCTTGTTTTGACAGTGCAATTGTGCTATACTGAAATTTCTAACAGTGTGTGAGAAACTTTGAGACGCTGGTGAAAGCAAAATACCAGTCTTTTTCACGGTATTACACGTGCTCAAAACTATGCATACATGATCAGAACAACGCGCGCATGCTCAGGACCGGTGTGTGTTTGCTGCCACCGAGCGTCTCAAAGCCCTCCTATTCATCACAGTAAAGACTGGAATTCGTAGAGATCTAAAATCATATCCACTCCCGTAAAAAAGTATCGAGTTACCAAACTTTACATTAGATTATTTGAAGGCGTTATCTAAATTACAGACTCAAAATCAGGGAAATTTTCTCCTCTGGGACAACAATAATCTGACAGGTAAAATCCGTCAGGCTAATTGAAATGATGTTACAAATTGTAATTTGGCAATTTTGCTAGATTTTTTTGAGAGCTTACTATTGGCCTGTTATCAACAAGTACATTTCGGCGCACTGTATATCACTTGAAATACTCAGTCTCACTTCAGTAAAGCTGCACTGTGACCAACCGTTAATGAATCGACGAATAAAGTTCTCTAACAAAGACGGGTATGAGCATGTGTGTCTTTTCTTTTGAAACAGTTGGTTCTTTGAGAAGATGACGAGAAAGGAAGCAGAGAAGCAGCTGCAACTGGCCGGCAACCCGCGGGGGACATTCCTCATTAGGGGCAGCGAGACGAGTCCAGGTAAATCGCGTTGTTCCCATGGCAAGGTGCGAGTAAACTAAGAGTGAAGTGGCTTTGAATCGTTGGCGCACGAACTGTGGCAGTAACCCTTGCATAAACTTGGCTGATTTACGAGTGCGTACAAAGTACAGCTAAGAGGCATAATATGGAAAAACAATGGTCTCAAATTTCGAAGATTTGTCAGCCTTTAAAGTCATCCGACGACCAACTTTTTCCCTTTAAAACAAATCCATATTTTTCCAAAAAACTCTGGTTTCTTGAGATGAGATCATCTCTTGTACTTTTTGTCAGCCTTGATAACTGAGGAGACCAGGGGAGGCAAAATCGATATTTTATCTTGCTCCAGGTGCAAATTTAAACGATATTCATCTATTCGCGTCATTCTTTCATTTAATTTTATTTTTTTCTTCAGGCGCCTACTCGTTATCTGTGTTGGATCATGATGATTCGCGGGGGTTCAATGTCAAGCACTACCGCATCCGGACGCTAGACAACGGAGGCTACTACATTAGTACCCGCATCACCTTCCACACGCTGCACGACTTGGTCAACCACTACACGAGTGAGACTTGTCCTTTTTATGTGAAAGTGGAACAGTAGTAAAAACAAAAACTCCGATCATTCCTCTGCAAAGTAAAATTACTGAAGGAATGAGGAATCTCAGGTCCCAAGCCCCATCCCATATTTCAGTTTTCTGTGTTTCTGTGAGTGCTAGGTGAAAATAAATTAACAATCGTAATAGGCCCATGGGTATACCATGATAGACCAGTTGCAATATAATGGAGTTTTCTCATTAGTTGGTGTTAATGTTCACTGGAATTTGATTTTTGAGTGGTTTATCGCCCTTTTCTCTTGCCACTTCATAAAATGCAATTTTTTTGAGGCCTCCAATAAATAAAGAGAGATTCGAGATACTGAATTCTCTCCGACTATGTCTACCATTATGACAAGAGAAATGCCGTCAGTGCACTCCCATCTTCATTGCCATTAACTTATTCGGTTGTCGGTCTGTAGGCCAAGCCGACGGTCTGGTCTGCCGCCTGCTGAACCCTTGCCCCCGCCAAAAGCCCGCCATGTTCGAGATCAGCAAGGACGTCTGGGAGATCCCCCGCCGCTCCATCAAGCTGGAGCGAAAGCTGGGCAACGGGCAGTTCGGCGAGGTTTGGGAAGGTGCGTTGCTGGAGAGAACCGAAGAGCATTCCCGTAATTTCATCCTTTTTCCCTTCTTCCGATGTTTGTGCGTCGAAAAGCGCGCGGGGAACCAAGCCTTGTTTGGGTGGAGCTATAGTCCACTGAAAACCACAAGCAAACAAACACAGCTTTAAAAAATTTCAAACGTTAGCCCTTTTGCGACGCTTGGTGGCAGCGGAATGTCTTGACGCCCTTCCAATTTACGGCGCATGATCAGGATTATTCAAAGTTACTGGATGAAAGCATGGGTTCCAAAACTTCCAGGAAGGTGCCGATCGAAGCACACTGTCATTAATACAGAGATGTATGCCGTGTTTAAACCGAACGTGAACTGCGTACATAAGACTTAGTGAACGAGACTGGTTCCCCGAGTGGTTTTTTATGAGCATGCCGGTGATTCGATGGTCTCGTGCTAGCTGAGGACTGCCTGCTTGCTGCTCATGTCTGGCCGATGCTCGCCTTTGGCATGTGCTTCAGAATGGTAACCTCTTTTGTCATATCTTAGCCTTTTCATGCCAATTTTTCTGCCTTGATTCTTGTTTTCTGAAACTCTGATAGACAGCTACAACCAAGACAAACCTATTTCTTGGTAACAAAGGAGTTAAGCATGAATACAAACAACCAATACAATAGACAAACCACTGTTTGGGTAATGCATGCCTACCATTCTGATCTCTTTTGTTTCTATGTCTGCTCTGGTACATCTCTTTGACTTGAGAGATACATATGCAGTGGCTGTGGTTATTTTGTACATGCAGATTGAAACTTAACATAGGAAAGCTGTGGATAAGAGAAGCTGTCGGATAACAGGAAATTACGTCGAAAATGTCCACATTGGATTTGCCATTCAGTAGTGTATCTTTATACCTGGCTCAAGGACAAAGCCAATGATACTTCAAGGGAGAAATTTCTAATTGATATGACTCTCAGCCCATTACATCTTACCAAACCGTTGATTCGCCTGTTTCAGTACTCTGAGAGGGGTTCACACCAAAGGTTGATAGTGATCTTTCGTTGCTTTTGCACGCGACAACGTCTGATTAGACACAAAAAAGTAGGCCAACTAATGGAATTTCTTTTCGCTCGTCATTTCGGCCCCACAGGTACCTGGAACGGAACGGTACGAGTCGCCGTGAAGACTCTGAAGGAAGGCGCTATGGATCCAACAGCTTTCCTCCAGGAGGCCAACATCATGAAGAAGCTACGGCACCCGAAACTGGTCGCCCTTCTAGCGGTGTGCTCAGAGGGAGTAAGTCTTCTGGACATAGTGACCAAATGTTGCTCGATGCCTTCCCTTCGGGGACAAAAGTCCGGTTTTATATTGCATCATAGCTGCTATTTGTCATGTTTCCTTATAGAATACTGCTTAGTATTCCGGTGTAAACACACATCTTAAGAGATAGAATTTCTAGGTACAGTTCTATCAGATCCAGGGGCCGTTATTCTGAACGTACAATTGCGTATCTTTTTGTACTAGCAGTTTTCGTAAGCAGAACATGCAATGGAAAATTGATTCATTACCAAAGAACCTCACACAAGACGTCGAGATACCAATTCTAACCAAAAGCAATCCTTAATATGCAGCAACTTGTTCTTTTCCAAATGATAGCAATGTGCGGTATCATATTCCAAGTCTCGGATTTGGAAGTATATGTGCGTTTTGAGATAACCACCTTCTAACTACCTCGCAAACTGACAGCATTGAGTTTTCTTGGCGTCCTTCAGTATTTTCTAGGCGCCGTCACATTCTTCTTCCTGCCACCAAAAATTGGAATTTCCGTCTCAAACCCTTAGTTGGAAATTTGTGGTTTTTACCATGAAGTAGTTATAGTTGATGGTTTCACGATTGAAATCTTGACGAAGTCTGAAATTCCGTGGGAATGCTGTGCTCGTAATTTCTTGTGACAACAACTTGAGATAGCCAAAGAAGCTTCACCCCTCCCCTTTTTTAGGAAGGCTGGCCTCTTCTACATCTTTGCTTATGGAATCTTTCTTATGTTGGGACTAAAGTGTGAATAAGTGAGTTGAGATCAAAATAGCTATAAGGTCTAACAAACTCATTTCTTGCAGTAGCTCGTGCAGTCAACTGTCTTTTCTTTAGCCCTAAAAACGCAGGGTTCTGGTCGCCTCGAGGTGTACAGTTTTAGGATAAGCGGGAATAGACCATTCTTACTCTTGCAAAGCAGACAAGTCATCACTCTTACAATGTGATCACCATTTTGTCTCATTTTTGACGAGCAGGAGCCAATCTACATAGTGACCGAACTGATGACAAACGGCTGCCTCTTGGATTACCTCCATGAGGGCGAGGGTAAGCAGCTACGGGAGCCCGAGCTCATTGACATCACAGCACAGGTAAGATTCCTGGCTATCCCGATCAGATCAGCTGGGATTAGCTGCCGCCTTGGCGTACACCATGAGGGTTTGGTTTGTTGGGAGCAGTCACTGAAGACCAGTGCATTAAACCGATGAATACAGGTATTCCCAGGTAACTTGTCACAATTTGGTTTAAATTTACCATCATTTGAACGTTCTTTGTTGCCTACCAATGAAATCCTTCTCTAATAATTCCTCGTTTTATGTTAAACGCCAGAGTTGAATCGAATTTTGGACGCTTTGGATAAAATAAAGCAAACAGCTGGTCAGTAAGTCTAGGTTGGGATGTTACAACAAAAAAGGGTCATGAAGCTCTCGTCCGGAGAGCTTTAGAACCAAGTTTCTCAGCGGTGTTCTCCCTCCCTTGAGACTTGGTACTAAAACACAGTCGTTGTCAAATCCTCACAAGTCAATCGCAAGTCCTCCCATCAACAGCATGTTGCAACGGAATTTGTACATGGACATCAGCACACGGTTTATATATAGCTGTATTGCTGTAGTGACCTCCAAGCCACAGTCACAGAGGATTCATCCTCTCCCTCCGTTCCTTCCCAGGTCGCAGACGGCATGGCTTACCTGGAGTCCCAACGATTCGTCCATCGCGACCTGGCGGCAAGGAATATTTTGGTGGGAGACCTCAGAAACTGCAAAGTTGCCGATTTCGGGCTGTCGCGAATTATTGAGGACGAGTACATCGCTAAAGAAGGTACAGTTTGATTTGAATCTAATCTCCTGTTAGAGATGGTATTGGAAATGCTGTCATTAGTCCGTGAAATACATTTAGGCTTCTGGATTAAATGCAAGATTTTTTTCATCTAAAAACTTGAGTGCATGTAACAACTTGAGTTCTTTATTTTCATATTGTAACTACCGTTACGGAGGAAGCCTATTAAGTATCATTGTTTTTCACGTTTTCTTTTTCTTTTTTCATTTTTTTTTATTTTGGTTACTTTCTTTGTGCTTGTTTACGTTTTCCTTTGTTGTTTTATAAAGTATGAGTACAGATCATAAGATTGTTAGGTTGAAGTGTGAGTATTGAACTCATTTATTAAAGCAAGTCTCAAAATATTTTATAAATTGCGTCCGAACAAATTCCTATACAAACTAAAGTCGTTCTACTCTCTGCTGGGTATTTTTGATCTGCGATATCACTGTGTTGAAACGAAGAGAAAGAAAGAAAAACATAAAGAAATCAATTCCCTCTCACAAACAGTTAGCAATGGGAAAAACCAAATTTCAAATCACACAAAGGGTCTGAAGGTCATTTGGACTTTGTCAAATGAGAAATTTCAGCCACTTGTGGAAAAACATTTGTGCTTTTGCTTTCGTTTTGGTAAGGATTCAAAAACAAAATGCCAGAGCTTCAGCAAAAATACACGCATCAAACCTGAGAGTATGCAAAATGAAAAAAAAAACAATTGTGGCCCATTAGTACCGAACCAAGGCTGAAGTTTGAAAAATTGGTGGAATACTGCACAAGGGAATGCAGATCTCACAACTCTGGCTGTCCATAATTGCCTAAGATTTCTATGCCCAAACTAGTCATGCTGAACTGCTTGAATACCTTAACCTGCTGTAATCACCACATGGAGTATGGTTTCACGAGGAAAACCTTGCTGTGCACCATTCTCAACAGTGAATTGCTTTTTTCATTGTCGGAATATTCTGTGATTCCTACTTGGAAAAATTGCGTGTTATGAATAATGAAACAACAGATCAAGTGATTTCCTATCCAAAGCACGAGCATTTTCGTCATGACTGTGGTTTTGGATTACCACATACAGAGGCGGATCTAGTGGGGTTGGGGGTTGTACCCCCCTCGCCTACAAAAAAAATCCTGGACGAGGATTGCGTCGTCCATCTATCCATCTATAGTTTAACAATTATATCAGTGCGCCCATCAACTGGAACCTAGATCCTTTCCTGGGCGTTTTAAAGTTTAATTTTGCGAAAGGAACAGATTTGTCACGGATTGATTTCAGAATGACTCCTTTTTTATATCTAGGCGCAAAGATGCCCATCAAATGGACGGCTCCGGAGGCCATAAACTTCGGCAAATTCACCATCAAGTCCGATGTCTGGTCTTTTGGGATCCTGATTTACGAGGTCATCACCAAAGGGCGGGTGCCTTATCCGGGTAAGCAAGTCGGCGCCCTCTAGTGGTGAATGCAAGACCTCAAGAGGGGCCTTTATAGAATATGCTTGTTTGAATCGGCTTGTTCGTTACAATCTTACAAGTTACGGCACACTGCCGTTTAATTTTCTTGTGCATGATTTGGAAACAATTTGGGGGTGCTTTTCACATTAAGAATATAACAAATCACTTCAGATGTGTCAGTATTAACCCTTAGGGAATGACAAACCAATTAAATCTAGTTTTTTAATGCATACACTCCATTTTGGCTTTGCTCTGATAATGGAACCGACGAATCCTCAAAATACATGTACCCATGACACTGCAGCTACTAAAAGAGAATCCACCCACCAAATCCCACTAAACTCTTAATTTATCTTTCCACACGTATGTTCACTCCTTCCACTTTGTTTGTGCGCCTGCGCTGAAATTCTTCCAAGTCGTGGTCACTTTCTGTTGCCTGTTATAATGGCGACGCCAACCAGAAAACGAATATACCACAATTCATCGGCGGAGATCCTCCGCATTGTGTAAAGGGTTGCTTTGCTAAATTTATACCAGAGAAAGAAAATCAGGCTTCGGATTTCATTTCGTGGTGTGTTTTTTGTTAGTTATCAGTGACATTTGGGAGAGAATTTGTGACAAATGTCTGTGGACGTCATAATTTTAAATGTAAAAAAGGGTATTTCAAAACCGACATTTTGATTTGTTCTCCATTTATTCCTCACATACTGCATATTTCGGTAAATGAAAGAGTGTTTGAAAAAGGTTATCGTGTTATGTTTAAGCTATTACGAATTGTCCTTCGTTAGTTTGATTAATATCAATTTTGGCTGTTTGTCGATTGATAGTCAGCCATGATTATTTGTTCACATGTGCACGTACTTTGTGGATGAGCCGTACATGTAAATGTACTCCATTCTCGCGCACACTATTCAAATTTGCAATATTGAAAATACCACCGATGTTTTTATCGTGTCTTAATACACACAGCACTTTATTTTGTTTGTTTTAATAAACTAGAGAATCGGTTTTAAAATGAGAACGACCATGGACATATTTTCTTTCATATCTGGTCGTGTTTTTTTTAATCACTTTTTCAGTATTTGTTTCAAAATTTGTGCATGTGGGTTCAAAATTATGATACGGTGGTTTAACGTCGTCTACTTCGAAATCCACAGCAACTTGGTCGAGTGCGCATGCGTTAACTCTCAACTAAGTGATGCATACAGGCGTGTGAGTGAACATACGTGTCCAGCGGGCCGGGATTCGAGCCCGGTTCACGCTGATTGAAGGCAGTATCCTTGTGCCAACCTGACTTCAGTAGTGCCTTCTAGTTTGGCACTGAGGTTGGCAGCTGCAGCTCCGTACTTCCCAGATTCAACAGAAAGGGTTGTCATTCTCTTCTTGTGGACAGGAATGGTGAACCGTGAGGTCCTGGACCAGGTATCACGTGGCTACCGAATGCCCAAGCCACCCGAGTGCCCCGACCAGCTTTACGACATCACCAAACAATGTTGGGACGCCGTCCCGGAGAAGCGGCCCACCTTCGAGTTCCTCCACTCCTTCCTGGACGACTTTTACCATGCCTCGGAGATCCAGTACCAATAAAGGTCTTGGCCTCATCAGCGGCCATCTTGGATTATGAGGGGATCATTAATATAACTGTGTAAATTACGAGGCTACAAAAGGGATACCAGGACCCGAATCTTGTGCAATGTTGACTAGCAAGAAGTAAAAGTTTGACGGATCCCATCAATATCCGAACAACGGACAAGCGTTTCTCGAAATACCTGTAAGAATGTACCAAGTGCTTGTACCATCTCCGGGGGGTTGTATAGTAAATGAAAATATATGCATAGGATTTTTTTTGTGTTACACGGCTGTGTCAGTTGCGCCCCTAGGGCCCTACATTTTTTTATGTAAAGATTTATTAATGTACGTGTTCACTCATTTTAAAGAAGTCCATTACAGATTCTTAAGTAAGTCACTCAAGTCGTCCAGTTGCTCGTCAACTATTCGTATGTTACTGTTCATCTCCAAGGTGTCCTGTGGTCAGGCTTTTCAGTCAAGTTATGGTTGGAGCGCGATTTCAAATTATTGTCCTGCTGATTAACCAACTAGCGTACTACGTTATTCATGTCTGACCAAGCCAGAGATGTGAACTTTGACTTGTCGTTTGCGTGCGAAATCGGCCTCCCGAGGTGTCAGTTTCAAACCCAAAGTGTTAGTAAAGGACAGATACTTACTTCTGAAATGTAAATAGAAGGAAAATTAAAATGAAATAATATATAGCAGCAATTATGTTCTAAAGTTTGCTTTTGAGAAGATTGCCGTTCGTGAATACATGTATTATAAATGAATTTTAGAATTGCATTATTTTGTAAGTAATGTCTTCCATGAGACATAATGAAAAAGAAAAGAATCTACAGAATGTATCAGTTTTCTGTAATTTCAAAGGTGATTTCGGCAAGGTGTGGTTTATAGAAGTTAATCAGATATGTGCGTTGCTTTCAGTGGGTTGTAAATATATTGAAAAGGGGCACCATTGACGACTATTTCAGTGAAATAACGCAAAAATCATTTACGATTTCACTTATTTATTAACCTATTCGTATTACGCAAGTTGCACTTTTGGTGGATTATATTGTACATATGCAATAGATCAATTCTTAATGTAATTAATTACGAAGGCATTAACTAGTGAAGGTTGTGTAGTACATCTTCATAGCGTACGGTTAATCTTCTCGGGATATAGCGGCCACAATAGGAAAATACTGTTGCAAACCTGTTCCTCGACAATTCAAGGGCACCCTCCACATATTGAGAAGGCCAGTGAAGAGAAGGAATCGTAGGCTGCATCCGAATCAGCCTCTAGAGCTAGGTCTAAGTCTGTGCCCATTGAAGATACACGTTGATTTAGACGCAGCCATATAGTTCTAGAAACCCGTTTCGGACAAGCCATTCACATACATGAGCCCTTCTCCGACTGGAGTGGCTGGGGACATGAGTAACGCACGCGGCTAAGAGGAAGTGATTGCGACTACTGACCAGTCATTCCCATAGACGCACTTATCATTTTAGCCTCAGCCACAACTTTCAGACAGCCAAATCGCATTTAAGACTATGCTTTTCAACCAGCACTTCTTTGCACAAAAAAAGAGAAACATTGTGACAATTCAAAGTATGAGATACCACCATGGATGTTAAATTAATCTCATTTTTCTATTGTGTGCTTCTCAGAAGAACTGGTTGTCTTCAATCGCTGTATAGTGCACATCATTTAGCATAGCACTGACCACATCTCTCCACGGGGACTAACTGTTCGAAAATTCTGACTGAATGTGTTGCCTGAAAAGCTAATTCTACCAGTATCTTAATTGGGTTTTATCCTTTCCATAATTTTTATATAACCTCATATTTTAGTTTTCATGATGCTCACATCACTGATTGATAATACTGACAATTTCATAGGCTCTCTATCTGCCTTGACTGGGTATTTTTTTGATTCAGGGTGTCAGTCTTGATTTGAAACAAATGTAGCTAGAAGAAAACATTTATTCAAGATTTTGTACTTTAAGTGCTTCCTCAAAAGTGCAATTACCTGTACATTGTATTTGAAAAATGCAGCATGCAGATGAAGTGTTCTGGTGTAAAGTCCAGTACGTTGTATAACTGTTTCCATGTTTTCAATAGTTTCGAACAGAAGAAATTGACAATTAGGTTCAATTTCAATTGTAAACGTAACTTTGAAAGTCCAGGGGAAAATGCAAAACATGAATCATTTAGTTACATAATTTCGAAATAGGTTTGCCCATTTTAAAACTGAAACTACTTTTTGTTTGAAATAAAGCAACGTTTATGCAAGCACCTTCGCCGTTCTCAAACATTTCGGCCTACGTAATTTTCCCTTTGTAATTAGCTTTTCCTTTAGGTTTTAGCTATTTTCTTTAATAACAGCCTACTTATTCTCTGAAAGGAACATTCAAATGTACATTGTCCTTTCCGCTTCAATAATATACTGTGTATTACACTGCATGTAACGAAATGATCGTTACAGTACTTAGGTTGTGTACCACGATTTTGAACTCACGACACATATCATTATTCTTGAGGACGCCGTGTTCGAAGCCACTCCAGATTGACGTCATATAATATTACCACTGCTTTCTTCTATTCGGTGACATGATTTCCCAACTGCCAAGCTCCCTTCATAGATCCGCTCCACATTATATCACATCTCCCGCAATCCCTTGCAGTCCGCCACCTTTGAAGTCAAGCATTGCTTGAATCGGGTATTTTGTTACAATGGCTTGATTTCACAGGTAGAGCGCGCAGCACGGTGAATAGTCGTAGCCGTTAGGAAAAGACGTGTGCGTATACAACGCCCATGCAAACTACGTGTATTTACACATAGCTAGGCTGAATACCTCATTAGGAAACTCGGGTTTAATGGAGATATAACGTCTAAGGGTTGCTCTTTGTCAGAAGCAACAGGAATTACCGTAACATAGTAGCCTCCTGACGTGCACCATCGATACCACTCCACTGTTCTGTTAGTAATGGGCTGGCTTGTTTGATATTTCCGCTCCACAAACAAGGGTAGCGGCAGCCCGTTGTGTCCCCCAAGAATTGATGAGTTTAATAAGCTGCGATCAAAAATCCACTGTCTGCGGCTTTTGTCGAGGGTTTGGCAAACACGCAACTCATTAAAAGCGGAGCGAATGAGGTTGTTTGTTTTTCGTGCTGTCGTGGGTATTCTTGATGGGTCAGCGTCGGCAGGTTGGTCTTTATCCTTTGACACCCTCATAACTGGGCTGTTTCTGTCCAATCAAATTACAGCTTTGTCACGGCAAGTTTGATATTATGAAAATAAATTAGAAAGATGGAAACATTCATGCCCTTTTTTACATTTGCAAATTTCGCCTAATCGGATACAACCACTCTGCAATAAATATTCTCATTTCTATTTCAAATGATAGATGACTGTGCTTTTAAACCGCGATGAATAAATATATTCAAGTTTTAGGGTTTTAAAAATGAAATTTGGCGAGTACGGGACAATTTCTCATTCCCTCAGTCGCCGGTTGTTGTCGGTTAGGAGCGATCGCAGTCAGGTCACTTCGCCATCCAGTCCAACCCTCCCTCCTCACACTGTGGACTGAACCTGATGCCGCTATTGCTCCAGCGTCAGCTGTGCCTTGGGTGGCCCAAAGATCACTGGAATTCTTCCACATTTTCCCTAGCCACCCTCCGAACGCCGGATCGGACAGTTAAATCCCGGTATTACTGCACCTGTATACTGTGAAATTGCGCGGGCACCGTGCCAAGTCAACCAGAATAATCCAGCCGGTTCATTTGCATATAATTTGCATGACGTGAGTGATTATGGCCCAGCCGCTACGCACGCGATCACGGGTTCCACAACGCGTTAGAGTCCGTGATACTAGGGATTTCTTGGAGAGAACTAGTTTCGCGATTTACTGGCAGAAATGTACGGCAAGTTTCATTTAAAGAAGAGGTGATGTCTCACTACAGGCCGAAGTGGGAAGGTGCATGTCAGCGATAATTTATGACCGCGATTTTGCTTTCCTTCCGACGGTACGTGTGTATTCTGTGATCAGCAGCTGTGAAGTTGACCACTTCATTGTGTTACATTCGCCTTGTCTCTCGCCCGCTTTAGTCGTAAACGGTGCAGTACTCGACTTTTGGGAGTTGAAAAAAATGCCGGGAGGGGTGTGACTGACATCCTTCACCCATTGTTGCATTGTTTCTACATACCAACGTCTTTAGTCATGAGCTGGGGAGACTTTTATGACATCCAACGCTATAAGACTTCTGTAGGTCCACGTGGGTTCTACATTAGACAGCACATAGCCCATTAAATTCCACGATCACAAGAGAGTTTTCAGAATAAGGTAAGACAAACCCGCAAGTTTGATAAAAGAAAGAGTGACACCTAGTTTTTTGGAAGATAAAATCAGATTAGATAACTGTCGCTGACTACCAATAACGATCTTAAATTTGGTTGTCATTGTCACTAGCTTGTCTTGTAATATCCATTGCCGTAAATTCTTAGACCAGCTTTCACTGAATTATTGACACCAATTCAACCCAAGAAAGAAAGTAGAGAATAGGCCTACAACAAAGATAAATCGTAAACAATAAGAGGCAACATTAACCTCGCCCGTCTGGTCCTACTTCTAAATTAAACTGGGACAAGGTTAATTTTTTTGGTATTAAACTTGTTCCCAATGTGTCTGTGGAAATTCCATAAGTTTGTTCAGCAAGAAAAGCTCGAAGTTTTTTCAATCTTTTTTTCGCCGAGATGAAAACATTTCTCTGTCTCTATCTGCAAAGTAAGCATATTTACCATCGAAAGCACGATATCATATTACACTTTCAATGTTTTAACATTACTACACAGTACTATTCGATTGCTGATTCCCAGATTCACGATTTCAACAAGAACTGAAATATTAAAGTGAGCTGGCCTTTAACCTTTTTTTTTCTGAACAGGAAACATGGTTATCTTCGCGTAAATTGTGTTAATTGGCTCGTTTTGCCCCTCAGGTCAGTTGGAATTTCCCTCTTGTAAAGCGTACGGACTCAAAGACTAAAACTGAAAAATGCCTCTGGCGAGATGTCGATGTCCTTGGATGGCATTACCAAACTTAAAAGCCTATAAGATTGTGATCAAGCGGTCAGCAGTTATTACTGACGGGCAATAATTGCCACAGGAACTTGACCGCCACCTACTTATCTTCTTTGTGTTTTTCCATTGTACAGTTTTAAGCGCAAGGTACCATATTTTTAGTCACTAATTTAAACCCTGCACACCACAGCATAATAACGTTCAGCTAACTTGTGATAAGGGCACTCTTTTCATGTTCTATGGTTCTCATCATATTTTTTTTTTAATTTGAGGATGGTTGGTCGGTCGAGTCATAAATCCTTTCAAAAAATCCATGCTGCTGCCATAATGAAGCAAAGTGCACTATGTATACTTGTCACTTGTTTTATATTGAGTGTCTGTTCCCAGCCGAGTGTAGAGAAATATTTCATTGTACACAACACAAAACCTCATTGTAGTCAGTTTCAAGACAACGTAGTTGTGCAGTTGTCTATGGACATGGTGCACGTATGTTTCGGTTTTCCCTTAGCGCTCGTATTTGTAGCACAATGGGTGCGGTACTGGTACCGCTCAGTAGTGATGCCGTACCGTGGATTTTGACTGTCGCTCCCTTGATATTTGGGCGAAATCGCAGTGTACTGTACATGTTTATTTTCAGCGCTGTTTTTTTTTACAGGTCATCACAACCTACTTTTTTATAGGCAAGGTCCTCTCAGCAGGGTCGGTATAAAAAGGGGGTTTCTTTTGTCGGTAGCCAAAAATGGGGTCGGTCGGAAATGATAATAGAATTTAAAAAGAGTGCCCTAATGACACACTCTGTCCTCGTCACTGTATTTAGATACTACATCACGTAGAACCATTAAACTGTCTGTTCTTTTAACGTCACAGTGGTGTTTTCCTACAAGTGGCTGCTAAAACTATAGTTGGCCGTCGGTGCAAAAGTAAAAGAATAGTTCACAAAGTGTTAAAAATCCCATGCAGCTATCAGAACACCGAATAATAATAACATACTGCTAAATACTAAATGAAAATACAACCCTGTTTAAAATTAATGGGACAGCTGTCCGTTTTGAAGGAATATGAGGTAAAATCGAAAACCGCCCATACAAGTTGTAAGCAAAGGCACTCCACAAGGGGCTGCCGTTTTAACCAGTAAATGCACTATTAATTAGAGGTTTGGTCTTTCGACGACAGTGGTAGACAAGGTTTTGCTACATGTATATGCAACGCCCGACGCAAACAAACAATTTGCGTGCAGTGTATGTCTTTGAATTCCTTTCAAAAACCTTTTTACTCGTTATGTTCCACTGCATAATCCTGAATAATGTCAGATAAAGAAAAGTCACAAGCATGCACACCCAAATGAAAGGAACACATCAAGTGAAGCATCCTGGCCCAGGAATTTCCCTTATGGTTGGCAGAGATGTGAATTTGTTGAAGGTTACGCTTTGGGCAGAGATTAGTTCACAATAAATTGTATGTTCGTATGATATTAAAGTTTTTTTATAACAAATAACTCATTATGGTCTTAGATACCAAATAATTCCCCTAGTGAAAGAAAGATTAAATCAGCACTGGAGAAAATAGTACCTTTCCACATTTTTTTTCAATTTATGAAAAATGTATCACGTTAACTATCAACCTTTCAAATCCTTTGAACCTTTCGTCCTCTTTCGAACACATGTTCGTTTCTTATACAGTGAAAAGAAAATGAAAAGTACAGACTCCTCCGTATTTAAAAATGCTCATATTCTGAAGTATTTAAGTACTTACTACATAATCATAATAACATTACCAGAATGCAAATTGTAATCTTATCACAATAATATGATACACGCCATTCTCCACCTTAACGCCAAGGGAGTTGGTATATTAATTCACTCTTTAATCCCGTTCCAAGGATTTCGGAACTCCCCCGCCCGTGTCGCCTTGTATCGCCTACGGGCAGGGGAGCCAAATGCAGGCAACTCGTTTAAGCAGGTACATTACTGCGTGAAATTAATTGGACGTTTTTATAATGCGCAGTGTCCCATGAATTGAAGGGCCTCGCGTAAACCAGCATAATTGATAACCCTTCACTTAACATGAGGTTTGGTGTTCTTCATGGTAGTACAAGATCCGAACAGGGCGTAGGAAAGATTTTATATGTGCTGGTGAAACGTGAAAACGTTTCCAGTAACATATCTGTAGAGGTTTAAAATGAACACAGTGGTTGTAGCAGTCTATTACTAAAGTTCTAGAAGCAGAGATGCAGAAATGCATATTCATTCAGCAATATTAAAAGCAAATTACTAACATAAGACGGATCTTCCGACCCATCTACGTCAGCGATACAGGGAAATGTTTAATCGGCACTTTCGCTGTGACAGTAGACGATATTCTTCGGTTGACCACATTGATGAGAAATTGAGGCTTGCTTTGATTTTGTTTAAAATGACGACCACCCCTGCAAGAAAAAAAAATAATTTCCGGACGAATTATTACTTGTGAACTCTGATGAACAACTTCATATTTTTTATTTAAAAGTACCTTAGTCTTTTTGCCTGCTTTAGAAAAAACTCGTAGGAACATGGGACCAACAGCAGTCCTCAAAAAATCTGTTAAATGGTTAATATTCTATCAAAAAAGATTCAAGGAAAAAATGGCTTCTTTAGGAAAACGGTCCCTCCCCCAAATGGTGGGTATTTCTGGTAAACGAGAATTGCAAGGTTCTTTGATCTGGTTTAATCCTCACATCTCCTCCGTTGATGTCAACAAAACCCTGGGTTTTTTGTGTGTTTATTTTTTTCTGAAATAACATACAGAGAAATACGAAATGAATAAATCATATCCTTGTACCACTTTCTTAATCAAACCTGATATAAAATCCACGGAGACTTACGTTAACAACTGAGCCAAGTCAGGTAGTGACGTCAGAGTGAATTAAGCCCCTTTTTGTACGTAACTTTAAATCTATGTCAAAAAAATCAAGGACCACTGTCAATACGGGTTTTACAAAATTGGTTTTTTGCTGTAATGGCTTCCCTTTTGTGCTCTTTTGTCTGTTGGATTTTTTACCGCTTAAAATAAGCTATCGATTTAATACATGTAGGCTATACCGTGTAATTGGACGTACAATCCGTCAAACATGAACATACGGTATGCTATTCAACACTGCTTTTTACGGTGGTGGGTTTGTGTTCTTTAAGTTTTTGCCGGCTTAACAACAGTGGAACGATGAATGTGAAAGGTGAATGTTTTGTGGTTACATGCCTACAAGAAAATAACCAGCAAATTGCATGTAGATGAACAGAGGAAACCAGCCCACACCCACCATCAAAAACCTCTCGGAAATCTAAATTTATCACGGCAGACCTGCTTTCAGCGGCTATTGGCCCGGATGAAATGAGCAGCAGCAGTCTGTTTCGGTTCTACTTAGATTAGAAAAAAAAATTGATATCCAGCTGGATACGCACTGAGAACATCCATAAATCTTTTTCGGTTAATAGTTTCACAGCAGCAATATTTAAAGGAGAATTCTGCCATGTTTTACCGTGCCGGTCACTGTTTCCATTATTGGTGCGGTGTTAAAACTCTGGCAACAAAATTTACCTTTGACAAATTACCATTCGTGTTTGTACTTGCCTTCTTAAAAACGAACTGATTTTTTTAAAGCATTCCTCCGATCACACTGTGACTGAGAGCAGCAATAGCGACAATTTCCAAAAGGTGGAACGATGTAACGGGACAGAGGAAGGCTTCCGTTGTTTGTTGGAAAGGAAAAAAACTCAAAACTGAATTATTTTTCATTCAGTTACGCAGGCGCCGTGTTACCTGTTTCCTTCCGAGTTTTGCCTGTTTTATCAGATACAACGCAATACTCGTTTGATTGGAAATATGGAAATATGTAACTCCTACTTCAGAAAAATTAATTTTGTTAATAGAGTCACTGGCAAAAGTTCAAGACCACCTGGAATTGTATGGGTGTTTTTGTCAATAGGCCTGCGTTCCCCTGTCTCATCGGACGATTACATAACATTTACTACAGTGTGCTATTAGCCATTTGAATGAAAGTTTTTGTTAAGACAGGTCTTTTATGGCATTTTGTCTTTACTGCAGAGTGGGTAAAAAAAGCCAGTGTAAGTCAGGTTTAAAGGGCCTAAATACTTACCCTCCATCAAGAGGGCTACTCTGAATGTCAAATTAGCGAGAGGGCAGGTTTCAGCATGACTGCTGTGCACAATCCCATTTCAAATAGGTGGCTTATTTTCTGACCGGAAAAGGCACGGTCGTCCAAGATAAACA